CATTCGGGGTTTCTTTTTTAAAATTAGCATTGTTGGGTTGGTTGGTTTTTCCAGTTCTTCCATTGTTTTTGGAGATTTGCAAACCCCCTTTTCAGTTAAGAGGTTCAGGCCAGGCGAACAGGAGGGGGTGGCGGGTTTTGGGGAGGGAGTACTTATTTGTCCCTTGTGGCCCTTTTCCTTAAGAAATTGGGTGGGGGGGGGGGGTTTGGCCCCCGCCCCGGAAGGGGGCCCCCCAAATACCAAGATTCTGGGGGGGGGATATTTTATTCGGATTTTTGGATTTTTTTTGGGGAGGCCAACCTTTTTGGTTTAGGAGGGTTGGGCCGAAACCCCAACCAACCCTCCCCTTTTTTCCCATTTTGTTCCCCCCCAAGTTCCCTGGAGGAAAAGGGGTTGGCCAACCCAAAAGTGTTGGAAAAGGAGGCCCCCCGGGGGGCCGGGGCCCAAACCCCTTTTGTTTTGGGGGGGGGGGGGGGGGCGGAAAATGTTGCAAAATGTTGTCAATCGAGGGTTGGGGCCAAGTAGGCCGAGAGCGGTTCCAAGATCTTGGATGGAGGCAGATTGCGGGGAAGAAGCATCGGACTAACACGCTTGTGGGCCCGTCGGTGGGCTGCTAAGCGTTGTGGGATACCGCACGCCTTCGTCGCTGCCACGTGCGTACCGCTTGCTTGTCTGCACGCCCACCCTGTCTGCTCCACACGTCGCCGGTTTTTTCTTCTCTTTCCTGTGTCAGGGTTACAGCTCGAAGCGGGCTGCCCGTTGAGACGACACAGGAGCGACAAGACGCGGAGCTACAGCCCAATACAGGCATCCGAGTTCAGCGGGTCTACCAGTCACATACACGCGCGCGATGACACACCGTGGCCAAGTCAAAGCAGCAGCCGTTCGTCGCCTTGGCCATGAACGAAGAATACTGAAAACTCCTCTTTGCTATTCTCTTCCTCCCAAGCTTTTCCCACGGGCCTTCTCGGGTGAAGCCTGGTTAAACCCCGGCAACGAAAGCCTCAGGCCATATTCGCCCCTCCCATGCCGATGCTGTATGTGGTAGAGCTGACCTGAACAAGCCGTCCTGTCAGGACCATGTCAGGCATTTACCTAGAGCCTGCCGGTAGGGTGCATCGCTGGTAAGAGCTAAGATTAGCGGTACCGACCAAGGACGCTCATTGCTCCGTCCCACAGTCCGTAGCCGACAGAGTCAGTGCTCTATACCTACCATCCCATGTTATACCTAGGTACTGTACCCCATACTCGCGCGCGCCGGTTCTTCCCCACGTGCTCGAGAAAGAATCGGGTCGTGGTTTAGGCATCCCGAGTTCACGGCCGTGTTCCCAGTCTTGGGGGGAGTGGAGCATGGGGACGCCTTATCATGCGCATGATTTGTTGAGGGTCTGGTCGAACCCCATGGGGTGGGTAGTGCGACGATAGCGGGTGTCCTTGGATGTTTGCCGTAGTGTCGTCGGTGGTGTGTGCCGATGGAGGAGGGGGATGCATGATTCAACGACGCGAAGCGCAGCGAAACTTGTTGGTTTTATACATGGCTGTTCTGGTGTGCAACACGGCTATGTTTCCGTAGACAGAGGTTTTCCGTAATGTAGGAGTGGAGCATTGGTTGCAATATGCGACCTTGCGCAAGCGGCGGCGAGGATTGTGGAGAGCCTTCGTGGGCAACCAAGTGGCTGGGCGATGAGGAAATGGAGTAAATCAGTGTGAGATTCCCATTTTACTGCTTGGAGATTGCCCTTCCGCCCACTCCCCCAGGCTTCAATCAATGCGTCCTAGCACTACCTGCCCATACCCTGAGAAAGGAAAATAACAGTACAGAAGGAGAAGAGAACCTGGAAGGAAAGATTCATTAGATGCAATTCACTTGCTTGCTTGACATGGTAGATAGATGGAAAACGCCCAGAATGCACGCTATGCTGAATGTCAACACCCCAAACCCTTTCTCACGACCGAGGCACTTGGGCCACTCGACCAACAGCAACATGCTGCACACACCTCCCACCACGCCAATCCGCTCCCCTCCTCCGCCTCTCTCCTCCACCCCTCTCCACAAAATTACCCAACCCCTGCGTCAAATTATGATTCCCGCCCTGTAATTCCTTGAGATCGTAATCGTCAATCAAGCGCACGCGCCACAAATGATTGAAGAGTAGAAAGTCCGGGCGACTGGTGCGGAGGGTGTGGCCGATCATGGTGTGCGCGCGGGCCAGATGCTGCATGCGTGCTTTCCAGGCCAGGGTGCCGTCGGGAGAGGTGGTGGTCCAGTCGCAGAGGGGGCATTGGACGGAGCGCGGGGGTTCCTCACCGCGGAAATGCGAGAGGCAGTGTGTGTCCCAGTCTGAGAAGCGGGAGAAGATGGCGGTGCAGTTTAGGAACCAGAATGTGCATTCGTAGAGGGGAGGAGGGAGATGAGCGGGGTCGGTGGCGGGCGGGACTTGCAGGATGCCATTATTCTCTTGGAGGAGGGGGACGCTGGGGAAGTGGCTGGCGAGGCCGGTACTGATGGATGTTTCGGTAGGTGTTGCGTCTGTTTCGTGGTCGTGGTCGTGGTCGTGACTGGCGGTGGTGGTACTGGTGCTGGTATCATAAGAGGATAGGGAGGGCGGGGTGGTGGCGGGGTCGAAGTGGTGGAGAAGAGCGGGAGCCATGGAGGAGCCGCTTTTCACGGTAAGGGCATGGTCTGGACTCGAGCTCAAGACTGTCTGCTGTTGCTGCTGCTGCTGCTGCTGCTGGTGTGGTGCAGAGCCGTACAGGGCATCGCTGTTGTCAAAGGTATAGAGGCGCGAAGCGAGGTCGTTGGACTGCTGAACCCAGTCGTCGATTTGCGAGCTGATGATGGCGCTATCAAGGGTAGCTATGACTGCTGCCAACGATGTGTCGGCGTCTATTACGTGGTTGGCGCAAGGTCTCCCGGTCAGCCTCAGGCTTATTTGCTCTTCTCGCATGTCACGGGCGGGCGCATTCCATGTCATTGGCGAGAAGAAACGCAGGCTTGCTAAATACCGTAGTATCCCACCTGTATGACGAAGGATAAGAATACATGGGCGAACCAAGACTCACCAGGCATGTTACTCGGCGCATCCTCCTCGTTGCCGGCCATGGGCCAAAGTGCAAACGGATAAAATGAATTGGGAGATTGTCGATGATAAGGAAAAGATAGCGGATACCGGTAGGGCTGGACTAGGGGAATGGGTGAGCAACTTAGCGGGTGTCTGTGCAGGGCTAAGTCACGGGTACCGGTACCGGGTAAGTACGGTACCAGCCGCTGTTAGTCTCGTCCCGTCAGCACCAGACTCCAGTCTTACTTCACCGTGAACACAAAAATGCAAGCTGCCATGAACTAATTAAAACACATTGCACCAATCAGAACCCTTTTTTTTGGGGGGGGGGGGGGGGGAACTGTGGTATCCCGATCTACTAGTGTGCAAGCATTGCTGTAACGGCTTGAACTTCGACAAGGTGGAACTTTTCGCTACTTGGGTGGACCGTGAAAGTTCAGTCCAGTTGGATTGGTCCTACATCACTATACCATTTGGGGCTTCACTGGGCTGCAGTGACGGAAGAATGCAATAGAAAGAGTAAAAGTACACATTCAAATACCCGTCTTACAGGGGCAAGCGTTGGAGACCCCGCGACACACGCTCTTCTGCACTCCCCCCGCCCTCGATCCATGACTTCTCCACTGAATCCCACGAACCAACTTCATCCGAGTGGTGTCCGCACCGCCTCACGCAGACATAGTGACCGTCGTCGTCTCAGTAACAGTTGCGTACACAGTGTCCTGCTGTGCACAGGAAGATGAAGCCTCGCTTTCAGCTGCGAGTGTGATGTATACGGTGGGTGTGATTGTGATGGAGATGGGGGGTTTGCAGTCATTGGTACTGGGCAATGGTGTTAAGGGGGTGGGGCTGGGATTGCTAGGAGGCGGTGTGGCGGTTGAGGATGATGAAGATGGGATAGTAGTTGGATTAGCTTTCTTGGACGTATTCTCTCGGGATGGGACAGCAGATGGGGTTGTATTTGCATCTTCGTTGTCGTTGTCGTCTTTTTCGACCGCAGGAGGGGAATCGGTGACATCCAAGGTTGTGGAAGGCTTGGCGGTGAGGCTCCCTGTCTTGCTTGCAGCAGCGGCAGAAGAAGAAGAAGTAGGTTTTTCGCCTGGAGAAACTGGTTTGGCAGTAGCATCGCAATTTGGGCCGGTCACAGTCGTTGCATCAGCCGGTCCCGACTGGAGAGGATTGCATCCGGGAAGGGTGTCCAGAACAGGCGTGGCATCATTGCCCATTGCCGTCATGGCTGCGCAACTTTCAAATTCCCCGTCGGCATCTCTGTTCACGTTTTCTGCGCCGAAGCATTGCTCCATTTCCGTTTGACCGCAGCCGCAGCCGCAGTTGCAGCCACCCGTCTCGCCAATGGCTTTCTCAAGCACACCCTTCTCCCAGCCGTTCAACTACATGCGATTAGCGCTCGTCGTTGGTTTGCGAGAGACTTTGAAACCTACAAAGTCGGCGTGGAAACCAAAGCCAGTTGGATCGCCGTTGGAGACAACCCAAGGGGTTTCGTCTGGCCCATACTGCCCATTGAACGACGAAACATCATACCAAAACTCGACGAAGATAGTCGGGAATCGCGCTGCCCTGTGAGTGGCAGGGCAATTTTCGACCCCAACGCCGCTGAATCCACTGGGATACGCCATGTGAGCCTGAGGGTTCTCAGGATCCAGCTTGTCGCCATTCCAGCACGATGGAAAGGTGACTTCGGATGCAAGACCATAGTCGCACGAAGAGAAACCCTTGGGAAAGCCGTTGCTGAAGATGGCAGTGGAGCCCCCATCAGGATTGTGACAGCCCCATCGCACACCAGCGGGATTGTCACCATCGGACCGCTTCAAAGGGTTGCCAGCCATCATGTTGAAATTCTCAGGGAAACCTGTGACGTTTGCCCATTTGTCGCCGTCGCCAAATTTGTAGTAGATCTTGGTCGATTTCTCGGGCACACGGTGGAAGCCAGTCCCATTGCCGTTCCAGAAGATCGAGGGACGCCAGTATAAGCTCTTGTCCGGCTTGATGCGTGCAGTGGAGCAAGTCGAAGTTTGCGTTTCGGCAAAGTCGGTTGACGCTGACAGTGCATTCCCTCCGTCGAAGGAGTGAAGATGGGGACTCTCGGTGCCTGGATATAGCGCGGGATCAAGACGCTGGTAGCTCATGGCGTTGCCGCCACGATTGAAGAAGGAGAAGTAATGGCCATTGCAGTCGAAGGCTGCAACAGTGGCAGTGAGTCCTACGGTGATGAAGACTTTGGATAACATTTCAACGTAGACCTAGTAATCGGATACGATTGGATGGCAGATTTTGGCAGCTCAACAGCAAAAACAGTGGGTACTATGTGAATGAATGGGACGAGTCACGGACTCTGAGAACCTGCTGTTGGAAAGGAGTGTATACAATTCGAAAAGAACGTCGTCAAGAAAACAGCACGGCCAAAAAAAAAGAGCGAGAGATGATGGAAAAATCACAAACCTTTCAAAAGTCTAGAGGAAGTATCGGACATATAAGCCAGCACCCATTTCTGAATCTAGGATTACATGCAGCCTTCCGAACGCCTCGCCGCGGAAACAGGCTAGCCGTGCGGTAATCCTAGAAGGACTGTCACTGCAGTGAAATAAGCACAGTGGCGGCGGCAGGGCGGGATTGATCTGAGCAGGGAGAGCCAGTCCAATATGGGGGCGACATCTTATCAGGGGCATGGTCAAACCTCCGCGTCTGGCTAAAATCGAGCAGCGTGACAGGGCGGTAATTTCTTATCGCACATGAGACTGTTCGTTTGTGCGATGTTTGAATGCATAGGTAAGCCAGGCGCGATGCTAGATGCGATTTGTTTCCATCGCCCTTGGATGTTGTTTCATGGCGGTTGTGGTTGGTTGGCTCAGGCTGGTTGAGGTGACGAAGTAAGTTGGGAGGAGGTGTGTCGATGTTCCTGACGCCGCTCAAAGCGCTAGGAACTGGTAACATTGAACCAAATCAGACTGCGAGTCCACCATCCAGGCGAGAAAATAAGTGGCTGATCTTCCAAGCGGTGTTGACTGCCCCTGCATGAGATTGCTGCACTTGTCCTCAGCCTTCTTCCGGCAAAGGATTGTCCTGGAGGGTTGTCGGCTCCTATGAGCGCTTGATTTTGTTGCTCTTTGGTTGCTCTCTCGCCGGTATTGCTCATTTCACACCTCCTGGCCCATGTGCTTGGGTTTGGTGAGGTCTCTTAGCATGATTGGGGGACTATGCTATGGTACTGAACCATTACGTCACTTACTCGAGAAGGTCTACTCACATCATGGGAGAATGGCATTGTTTATGTTGATACTCTGATTGTGGCTAGCTGCTATAGAGAATGAATGATAGAGTGCTGCGATGGGGATGCGATGGGATGCGCTATGATGGGGATGGGCTAGTGGGCGAGCGCATGACAAGGTCCCGTGCTCTGTGGGGTGTGCCATTCGAGTGTGGCGTGGCGTGTGGCGTTTGAGTTGAAGCCACAGGACAGGACAGGACAGGACAGGACAGGACAGGACAGGACAGGACAGGACAGGACAGGACAGGACAGGACAGGACAGGACAGGACAGGACAGGACAGGACAGGACAGGACAGGACAGGACAGGACAGGACAGGACAGGACAGGACAGGACAGGCCAAGGGACGGGTGGGCAAGTACGTCATTGTGAGCGAAGACACGTTTTTTGCTGGAGAGGAAGGGGATCGGGTGGGGAGTGCCGGGTGGAGAGATTGGGAGTGCTTGGCTAGCTAATTTCAAAGCAAAGTGGTTTGGCGTTTGGTGTGTGCGTGGAGATGGGGGTGTGTGTGGTGGAGTGGTTGGGTGTGGTGATGGGTGGGTGACGCATAATCTACTACATGTGTACTCTAGAGTGCTGTAGTAGATGGTAGTAGTGGGTATAGTGTGCATGGAAATTGATACTATAGCAGAGCAGGTGATGGAGAATGGGGAGGTGAGATGGGAATCGTGCTGCTGATCTCGTGTGTTTGGGGAGGCTTGTTTGGGCTGGTTTATCCATAGCATAGATAGATGCTCTAGAGTACACAGACCGTACCGGTACTTGCTGTAGTTCTCAACACTCCCCACGGCTTCTCACATCGCAAGCATCACAAGCATCGCAATACACCGCAAACGACACACGCACATGAACGCACTCACCAAACGCAAAGCCATGCACCAGCCACACTTGTCCTCGAACTCCCAGACTGCGCTCCACCGGTCACGTCACCAACGCTGACCAAGGTAGGCTGTGGCGTCACAACGGCGGGGCCCACCCCTGGCCGTTGACGCTTATCTGGGCCATTGACACGACGATCGCTACCGCATTGGGTGCACAGGCTGAAGAAACCTGTTGGTTGTGTGTCGCCTACTCTTACGAATGCTGGGGGGGGGGGAGTTTTTTTTGTTTTTTTGCTTCCTTCACTTTTCGTCATGACGCCGACTTGCACTTGGCACTTGGGCTGGCTGTTTTGGTTGCCGCCATGTGTGCTAGGTAGAGGCTGGTGCCGCATCGCCCTCTTGGTGGCAGTAGAGTAGCGGGAGAAACGGGCAAGAGCGCGTGGCGTGCAGTAAACAGTGGGCGATTGTGGGTGGTGTGCGCATTGCATGCTACTCTACTCTACTCTAAGGAGGGAGAGGGTAAAATGAGGTGAGGGCGAATGACGAACGGGCAGACAGATTCGCAGGAAAGACTGGCAGGCGGACAGCAGGAGGCAGGCAGGCACGGGCGTTTGACGTCATTCTGCAAGGGAAGCAGGCGCAGTCTTTGCTTATAAGTGGAAGCCGCGACTACCTTTCTTTGTTTGTTGTGCTACTGTACATTCCACGCCTTTACCTGCTATACACCGCCCTTTTTCCTCCAACTCTTCCTTCTTCTTTTCCTTCACCCCGATAATCCCCAACCATCCATCCATCCATCCATCCACCAACCTGCCATTCAATACCAACCTCACCCACAAGAAATCATCCCCACAACACCGCAACCATGGGCGCCGTTGTATCCTGCATCAAGTCCATCGTACGTCTTACCTAGCTCTCCCTGCCTCCTCCACCGTGTCCTTGTCGATACACTTTACTAACACCACCGCTCCAGTTTCGCACAATTGGCAACTGCATCATGGCCATTGTGAACGCCATTGCCGCCGGTCTCAAGGCTGTCATCAACGCCATCGTCTCCCTCTTCGGCATCATCATCAGCTGCCTGACGTGCGGTCGTGGCGGCGGCGGCAGAAGGACTAGAACTACCCATACGAGTAGAGTCTAGCGCGCTCCCGTCTTTTTGTGAAGAAAAGGCCATTTCTTGCTGACAAGGCGGGCGCTGACTTGTCGGCATTGGGGGGGCTCATGGACGGGAGCTTGGCGTATGGAATGAGGGTTGCTGTTGCAGATCACTGTGCAGTCGTATCATCATTGCTCGTGCGGGTTTTCGACATCACAGTGGACGCCGACGAGAATCTTTGGTGCGCCATGATGGTGACGGCGGAGGGGGAAAGGACGAGGATACCCAGGGCGTGTGGTGTGGAGCGACTTAATGAATGTGGCTAGAGTGGACTTTTTTGGTTTCTTTCCTTGTACCGGCTTTTTTTTTTGCGCAAACATGGATGCGTGTCGGGGAGTGAGTGGGCTTGGACTACCGGTGCGACGAGGCGGCGAGGTGGAAAGGGTGCATTCTTGATCACGACACGCGCTTAGATACCCCCAGTTTCTTGAATGGAAAGCAGACTTGATCACCACGCTTTTCCCTTGAACATTTTCTTCTTTTTCTCTTTCGTGTCGTGTTGTCGGCATCGGCTGCTTATCTAACCTCTTGGCCTTGTGGTCTTGCTGTTTCCTTTTTCCCTTTGTTCCCTGGAAAAGTTTGAATATCATTGACAATTGTACATCTTACCCTATATGTCCCTTACCTCCCAGATGCAACAGACACTAGTGTTGGAGGAGGGGGGATATATTTTTATGGAAATGACTGAGAGCAGATGCGATGTTACATCTAGCTGCTTTTGTTGTGCATTATGCTAGGGCTTATGGGGTTGTTTTTGAGGGGAGGAGGAAAGGAGAATGAGGGAGGAAGGAATATAATGTAGCTAAACCTTTACATGTTCAACATGTCTGTCTGTATCTGTTGCGGTGTACCTATACTATATCATTGCGTTACAGTCTCGTGAATTGTAAAGACGTAGAGAGGCAGGGAGGGGGTAGTGTTTTTAAGACATGAAGTGGGCCTGTATTTAGATCTAGACTTGGACTCTTGGGTTAGGTTTACCCATGCCGGGTGCTAGCTAGCCAAGGCAACTCACTAGATACGTTGTCTTCACTTCATCTCACACATGCAGTACCGGTAGGTAAAGTAAGTACCGACTCCACACCCAAGTCTAGCCCTTATCGTGACTCTTTCCCCCCACTCTCCACCCCCGCGGATGTCAAAGGATCAGGCACGAGGCGCAAACTCCGCCACAAGATCCAGAAGAGCTGTTCGTTGGGGGAAGGGGTCCCACATGTACGGTATGCTCGCTTCTCATGTCTGTTTGGGGGGTTTTGGGTGCAGGTTGGGCTTGGGGCGCTTTGGTGTGGTAGGTACCTGGGATCCCAAGGACCGGGTTGGTGGGAGGTTGGTTGTGGTTGTGGTTGTGGTTGTGGGAGTATGTGGTGGTTTGCCATGGATGGAGTTCACTCAGATCGCGGGTGTTTTGGCAGGATAGAGGGCGAATTCTAGTCTCGCATCGAGTGCACATGTGGAACTACCAGGCACCCATTGCACGACACGGCACATCTCACAGTCGTGTCCACTACACACACTTACCTACGGCCTTGATAGCAGGTGGAGAGGCCCCTTTGCCCCAGATGTGAGGTATTTCGAGTTAGAGCCTCTGATGCATCCAAACTCAAACTCGGTCCATCTGGAACATCTGCCGTGTGGATCCGGCAACTACGCGACGCAATGATCATCAGCGGGGTGTTGCGGCTGTGTTGCTTGTGTTGACGTGTCGTCCATATCCTGGACTACCGGTACCCATGGGTTTTCATGTCCAGCTGTGAACCGAGAGAGCCCCACGGGGACATGGCGGAGACGCCGGACATTTGGGGAGTAGCGAGAAGAGAGCGATCGGTGGCCCAGCCCTTGAAATCTGGGGAAAGGCTGGGGTAAAGAAGGCACCAGGGGGGTGTTTTCAAATGCCAAAATCATGACTGGGTCGATTGGTAGGTTTGGCTTCCATACGAGTACCGATAGCACATGCTGGCCGTTAGGTAAGCCACCGAGATTGTGGGGCTTTGCGGGGTTGGCAGGTAGCGCAAGTCCTCCGCAAAATCGACTGCTGACTCCTCGTCCTCCCCTTCCTCGCTGACTCGCTCGGCGGGATTCGAAACGCCCTACTGCGAGTTGTTTCGAGTTGGATTCTGGTCTGGATACAACGTGCTTTGTAGCCATGAAGCTATTTATCTGACTTGTGAAATTAGGCCAGAGTAGGGCCTGGTGTAGGTAGCAAACTTCTTAGGTCATCATGGACCGATGGTTGCGGGCATCGACAAATGGATTAGGTTCAGCAGTACGCCCGAGGGCCGGGGCGCGGCGAGAATTGGCAGAAAGGGGCGACAGGGTATCTCCAACTGCTTGTCCTCGAGGAACCTCTCTCAAACGGCAGCCTGTGGGGCCGACAATGAGAATGGGACTTTTGCGGGGTCTCCACTTGTTGCTGAACGTGCTTTTTGGGCATCCTAGAATGGACCGCTGCTTATGCGAGCCACTATTGCATGGACGCTATGCGAGTTGCAAAATTGGGCTTATCTATTCATCTTAAAGCACCTTGTCCCACGTCTCGACAGCCTGGACCGGCCAGTGTAATCAAACACCATCAACCCCTCATTATACTTGCACGGATCCCCAATCCAGTCGTCGTCATTTCTTCACTGACTTGAGAATCGATCATGGGTTTTCTCGGTATCCTCGAGGATAAACACCTCCCCCATGTTCCCGCCACCGTCACCATCAACGAGGAGCAGACTGAGGTCCAAGATGTTTCCGGCCTGAAGCGTGGAACTGGAAAGGATGCAGAGGTCATCTTGGTTCCTCAACCGTACGTCTCCACCAATTTGTCCAAGGCTTGAAATGGCCGCATACACATCACCGCCATGATACTGACAGGCTTGCAGTTCCGAGGACCCAAATGACCCCCTGAACTGGTCATACGCCAAGAAGATGTCCATCATGGTCATTGTGGCCTATGGTTCAGTCTTGTACGCCGCTGTGCTATCTCCATTGCTCTCGCCGGCTTTGGTCATCATCGCAGCAGAGTACAACAAGAGTGTTGGCGAGATCACCGAGATCTCGGGTTACATGTTGCTTGTTACTGGCTGTATTGGACCTCTTGTTAGCGCTCTATCTCGCAAGTATGGCAAGCGGCCTCAGCTCTTGATCGCGTCCATCTTTGGCCTTCTCGGCACTGTCATCGCGAGTGCGGCGAACAGCTATAGTGGCCTCATGGCAGGCCGTGTCATTCAAGGTGGTTCGGTGTAAGTCTCGACTTTTGTGCAGCCATCGGACAATAACTGACAAGACTTGTAGCGCCGCATTCGAATCGCTTGTCGTGTCTATGATTGGAGACATGTACTTTGTCCACCAGCGTGGTGCCTTTATGACGCTCATCCAATTCATTCTGGGCGCGGCATCAAACTTCTCAGCCATCATTGTCGGACCCATCGTCACCAATCTCGGCTGGCGCTACCTGTTCCACATGCTTATCCCCTTTGTTGCCCTCGAGGTTCTCCTGCTCTTCTTCTTCGTCCCAGAGACAAACTACAAGCGTGACCATCGCTATGACATTGACGAGCTCTCCAATGAAAACCTCGCTGATCTCGCGGCAGTGGAACGGCGCCATGCCAACCCTGGGATTGACGTTGAAAAGGCGGAGACGGAGAACGACGAGATTGTCAAGTACCAAACCACGTCCAGCTCTCCACCTGCCCTGCGACCAAAGAAGACATTTGTCCAGCAACTCGCCATCTTCACCGGCACCTACTCGGACGACAACCTCTTCCAGCTGACGATTGCCCCGTTCGCCGTCTGCACCAACCTCGCCGTCCTCTGGATGGTCATCGTCACCGGTGGCCTGACAGCCTTCTTCGTCGCCCAGTCGTACGTCATGGCCCAAATCTTCATGGCGCCACCCTACCTCCTCTCCGCCGCCGGCGTCGGCTACCTCTCCGTTGGCCCCTTTCTCGGCGGTCTCCTCGGCTCCCTCCTCCTCGGTGCCACCCTCGACCCGCTCATCATGTGGTGCGCCAAGAAGAACAAGGGCGTGTACGAACCCGAATACCGCCTCCTAGGCATGATTCCCTCCGTCACCATCGTCGTCGGTCTCTGCCTCTTCGGCCACTACGCACAACAGGGCTCCTCGTTCTACCTGACCGCCTTCTTCCACGGCATGGACCTCTTCGGCATCGTCATCGCCGCCATCTCCGCCTCCTCGTACGTCCTCGACGCCTTTCGCGATATCAGCTCCGAAGTCTTCATCATCAATATGGTGCTCAAGAATTTCCTCTTCTTCGGCTTCTCCTACTTTGTCAATGATTGGGCGGCTTCGGATGGGCCGGCAGAGGTGTTTTATGTGTTTGCCGGTGTGGCTGGTGCGATGATTATTACTACGCCGTTTTTCTTCTTTGGTGGGAAGCGGTATAGGAGCTATTGGCACAGGCACAACTTGCTTCAGAAATGGGGTATTCAGACTCATGCCGAGATTTAGAATTTTTTCTTTGGTTTTCTTTTTGGCCTTCTTGTTTGCGAGCGGGGATGGGGGGAGCGGGACATTGCTGGGGATGGCAAAAATTGTAATAGTATACGCTGTGGGCGGTTTTTTTGTCGCTTTTTTCTTTTCTTCGTCGATCTAGGCTTACTAGCCAGCCCAATGACACTGAGTGCTTCACTCTTTCGTACCATTTTTGTTTGTTTGGGAAACTTATTGACTGTACGCCCTACCGTGCCACACTCCATAACCTCATCTCCCAGATACTCAGACCCAACACCCAACTAACAATGGCACAGTGACTTGTCACTTCCCTGCCAAAATAACTACTACCTACCCAACTCCCCTATCCACCCCAAACCGCCGATCACACATGCAAATCCCTAAGTAGTCGTACTGCTTACTACTCCGCTGACTCACCCCCACGCCTCACAACAGCCCCCTAATCCCTCATCCCCACCACCAGCACCACCAACACCAACACCCCCTCCAGCATCACACCGCAACCCAGAAATCTGCCTGCTTTGGCACTCACGCAACACGCACAGCTCAGGGCTGGAACCACGTCTATGCAGGATATCCGGGGTTTGCAACAGTAGAGCTAGCGCGGATCTCTAATTCCCAGCTTTACAGCAAGAGCGTGAATTTCCGCCGTGGAATTGCGTTGGGTTGGGTTGTATGGCATCGGCGCTTCATGATGGCGTTGGCGTTGGTGTTTGGCACCTACGTTATCCTTCTAGAGGCAGAATTCTCGGTTTCACAGCCATACTACTATCCAAGGGACCGCCCAGCACGCTCCTCCACCCCCCTTCCTCAAGCCCCACCCGTTCAAACCTCCCCCTGTTGCGATCTGCACTGTTTTTGAAGATCGGTGGGTAGGGTGAGAGCTAAGAGGAGGGCTATGGTGCGTATAGGAGATAAGGTTTATAGGATGGTGAGGGAATGGGGCAAGGGGGTGTTGGTATTTGCTGCTGACGCTGTGGGAGGAGAGGGTTGGGTGCTGTTTTTGTGTGTGTTTGTGTTTTGTGTTGGGGATTGGGGGGGTTGGTCGGGGTAGTAGGGGATGTGGTGAGTACCGTACTGTGCGGAAGGGAGATGATGGATGCGCGGCGGTGATGTGAGTTAAGATTCTTTGTTTTTGGAGAGTAACTCATGCGCTCGGGTAGTTTGAGTATCATGTGATTTGCCACTGCTACATCCTGGCTATTTTCATAGCACAAGACAAGTAACGTGATCCTCAAACTAGCCGAGATAACTAGTATGGTAGAGGGGGAGACACCATTGCCAATGGGGGAATAAACCAGTGTGCAGATGCGGCCTAGCTTGGTTTGTGGCCTGAGGTTTCTGATTCGGCGGATGTTTTGTTGGAAATGTTTGGGATGTCATGCACGTCAGGTCGGGTCAGCTTGGGTAAATTTGCGGCACAGATGGTATCTAGTGGAGTAGATGTGGGGTTATTTGATGTGCATACTTGAGTTAAGAGGGAGCCTGTTAGAGTGCAGGAAAGGTTGAGAGTTGGGCAACTTCAGTGGTGACATCGGTGTGGGATATGTGTGTGCTTGCGACATACCGGGGCCAATGTGTTGGTAAGGAGGTGAGACATTTGGCTTCGAGTCACTCGACGATAGGGAATCTGCGTCTCAGTACCAGTCGCTCGGTGCCGTCCAGATGGCTGCATCTGCATCTGCATTCTCCAGACGCCTTGCGACCCATTGAGACGCCAACGCCCACGAGATTTATCCAAGCGCTGATGGTCTCCAGACCCGCCAGCTGCACGATCGGAGTCGCAGTCTCCATATCGCCACCGCCCCGATGCAGCCCATCACGTTCAATTAGAGTTGCAGCCCCCGACCTGTCAGCGCGTAACACGTCTGGAAGCTCAACTGTGCCTGATGATCCGGCAGTTTGGACACCCGCGACTTCTTCTATCATGCTTGCGGCGTAGGGCAAAGGGTTGTAGGGCTGGCGGTTAGGCATTCCATGCACAGGTTGATGTGCGGGGCAGGGCCAGGAAAGGGGTCACTGGCCGCCTGGGCGCTGGTCGAGATGGATTGATTGTTTGCGTGTTTACTGATGCTAATCGTGGGACTGGTCGACTAGGTAGCAAGTAGAGTAGGCCGCTGCCGATGTGATATTGAGGCGATTTGCGGTCCAAAAGAGGAAGCGAAACAGTGGGCGACTATGAGGTGCAACGTTGGAATGGCATTGAGTACTTTCCAGGATGGATGTTGACAAGAGATGCCGGACTGTGATCCGATCATGCTTATCTGACGAATCTGAGGTCGAGATCGACAAACCCATGGGCTCAAAGCGGGTCGCTTTGTGGTGTACCTATAGAGTATCAGCAGCCAGCAGCATTGTCACTTGTGTGATGGCTCGGGAGGGAGGGCCGGTCCACACTAATGGCCACATCCCTCATGCCCTTCTCAATGCCTCGCCACCACTGTCCAGTCTGTCCAGTGTCGTCAATGGCAAAGGGAACACCCCCGAGTCAGTCCTGTTCTTGGTTGCTGGCGCATTTTCCACATGTGTAGTTGACAAGCCAGCGAAGGAACAAGTGACGGGGAATGGGCCGGGCCATGGAAAGCTTGACCACGTGCTAGTCCCGTTTGGGATGGTCGGCGGCTACAAGTCCCTCGACAACCACTCAGCACTCCAATGCTTTCACTCCTTCAGCCCGACCCCGCTCCACACCCGGCTCACCTCCTGTGCATCGCTGCTACTCTAGTCTTGCCAGTCACTTCAACTGTCCGATTCGTCAACTTGGGGAGTCATGCGAACGAACGAACGAACGAAAGAAAGAAAGAAAGAAAGAAAGAAAGAAAGTTGGGATATGTCATGCATAGTCAAGAAACGGATCAAAGCACCACACTGTTGGCGACCGAGCAACGGTGTGATTCGGTCGTGACACCCCGAGGTGGCCGATCTTCGTTTGTACTCTCCTCAGGCCGTGTCCAGCTCGTCATCGCGATGGCTACCATCTTCTTCCAAGTCCTCAGATGACATGTCTCACATCAGACAGAGGATGAGAATAGAAGAGATTGGGCTATCTTGCGATGCCGTACAACCACCTGAGATGCCCTTGCGGAAAGATGCAAGCCAGAAAACGGGCAGTGGAATCGACTTGGAGAGTGCAAAAGTGCAAACCCGCCCTAACCGACAGCGGCTCCCGCTTGAATGGGCAGAACCCAGGCTGGATCGCTTCCTTGACGGCCGCTACTCACCAGTCACAGCCCGGATCCCGCATGACATGCAATGCACAACGCCGCTTGTCAAGCCCTCCGATATATGAACTCGTCGTTAATGCAGGTCGCCATTGTGATGGCGCTTTTTGGCTCTTCATTCTCCTTCCGGGTCCCTGTTTTTTGCCTGGCCATCACCTCTTGGCCCAATAGCCTTCTGTTGGTGAGCGGTAGGGAATCATCTTCCATTTGCTGCCACTATACCGTCCTCGGATCCCTGCTTGCAACCCACACTCCACTGATGCAAGGAGCATAAGGAACAAGCCTGCTGCTGCTCACGCACCGTATCTGATCCGCAGACGCATCCACCGTGTCGCACGTCTTTCCGTTGCCGTGTCGCCGTAGCACTATCTCATCAATCACATCGATTCGCAAGGGGAACAAAAGTGGGAGCGAATCCGTCGCTACACGATATCTACGCCACTGCGCAACATCGACCCTGGAAGGAATACCCCGTGCAGCTTCACAGCGCATCATCACCAACACGGCTATATCCTTGTATCCATGTAGGATCGGCTCCCCGGATGTTTCTTAAGCAATCGCTTCCCCAAAATCAATTCCTACCGGCATAGTACGCCTCCACGTTGTGGTCCAGCTTTTGCTGGCAGCGGTGTATAACAAGACCATCTCACTTGCCCGATTGTCGCAATACTCAATTCTCCGATTTCAGTATGCCAGCACTTCCGGGGGCACTGGTGCAACGGACGAGCGTGGCTTTGAGTCAAGTCGGTGTAGCTGCATCGCACGCCGAGCGAGACCTGGCGCAGACGGTCTCCTCGCTGCTTCGACGTGTGAATATACCGTTCAACAGCTCGAGTCCGGCTGGCTTGATTGAAGCCAATACGGTAGATCCATGGAACCAGAGCGGGAAGTATGCGCTGGCATACGTCTACTTCTGCATACCTCTGCTGGTCTTCGCGGCGTCTATGCGATATTATCACTTGTTCACAGATAAAATCCGGACAGCACTGCACCAAGAAGAGGTATTACAATCCTCAACGACATCCTCTCCCGACACAGACTACGAGCTGTCAGTACTTGATACTGACAAGTCCACCATGAAGTTCTTTCCCCGCGAAGGCCCGCTACCTAGCGCGCCCAAGACGCAATCCAGTGTCTCTTCTGTTGGCCCGATTAACAACCTGGTCGCCCTCTTCCGATTCATCTTTTATCGACCGGTCCGCCAGATCAGTATCAAGAAAGGATGGAGACCCATTGTGTTCCCATCGTTGAGCGTCATCGTGGTTGTACTCTTAGCCCTGCTTGTGGGCGTTCTCTATTGTACTGTTCCGCAGCCTCTGTTCTGGGATAGCATCGCCTATGGATCACCCCCCCTGGCTGTTCGATCCGGCATGATGGCTGTCGCGTTACTGCCATGGATCATTGCTCTTGCGACCAAAGCCAATCTCATATCCATGGTGACTGGTATTAGCCATGAGCGTCTGAATGTCCTTCATCGGTGGGCTGCTTACATCTGCCTCATTCTGAGTATCTTGCATACAGTACCTTTCTACATCACTCCAGTCTGGGAGAAGGGTGCGCGAAAAAGCTTTGAGGCGTTGTTCCAACAGAGAGAGGGGTTGTACATCTACGGCTCTGGTATGTCCTATTGCATTAACGAACCGGCAAGGTTTTGTCGTTGACATCTACATAGGCATCGCTGCTCTCGTACCATTATGCTTTCTCTGCGGCCACTCGATAGCGCCTCTCCGGCATCGAATGTACGAACTCTTTGTAGCGCTCCATGTCCCTGTTGCTATCGTCTTCCTCGGCATGATGTTCTGGCACTGCAACAACTACCTCACATCATGGCACTACCTTCTGTCAACAGTGGGCATCTGGCTTCTCTCCTACTTTCTGCGACTCTTCTATCTCAACTGGACTCGGCCTGCACGAATCTCATGGCTCATTGGCGACGAAGCTGCTGTAACTCTGCTGCCAGAGAATGCCATCAAGATAACCATTCCCACTCAAATGAAGTGGAGGCCTGGCCAATATGTCTACTTGCGCATGCCTGGCATCTCGGTCTTTGAAAATCACCCATTCACCATCGCTTCTCTATGTAGTGAAGACTTCCCTTCGGAATATGGTGAGGGCTACAAGGACATGGTCCTAGTATTCCGCCCATTTGGAGGCTTCACCAAGAAGGTACTTCAAAAAGCTCTCGAGCATGGCCCGTGGCATACATATCGCGCTTTTGTAGATGGTCCGTACGGAGGCATGCAACGGCGTATAGAAGCCTTTGACGATGTTGTGCTTATTGCAGGGGGTAGTGGTATCACGGCCATCGTCTCGCAGATCCTGTCTCTCATCAAGAAGATGCGCGACGGCAAAGCAGTGACCAGGAAGATTCACGTCATCTGGGCACTCAAACGTCCGGAAACCATGGAATGGTTCAAGGAAGAGCTGCGAATTTGCCGAGAATATGCGCCCCCGGAGTCAGTGCAATGTCAGTTCTACATAACAGCTGCGAAGCGGAACGCTGGTGGCGCACTCGTGAGCGCAAAAACGCCGACTCGTCCAGTATCACTATACTTTCATGATAAAGTTAATGGCGCTTTTCAAAATATTGCCGACAATCGACTTTCGGGTATTTCGTCGAAGCGTCACTCGGCACTAATCCGTGATGAAGCGCAAGGCGATCCAGAAAAGGAGTCTGAACTTCGTCGCGAGAATGAAGATAGCATCACTGCGCTCCCACAAGCGCACATGGTGCCCATCAATAAAGGCCACCTCGCGCCCCCACGTCAAAGCTACCAGAGTAGCTGGCATTCAGAGTCATCGGACAACTCGAATCCCGATGTTATTGCTCCAGTACCTCAAGGATTTGGCGCTCGACGCCAACAGCGAAACCTCTCGCTCGACATTTCGCAGGCAGTGTCCGCAGGCTCTGGCGCCATCAACCCAGGAATCTCGCAAGATCCGGGTGAAGCTGGGGCGGGCTTTGACTTTGGATTCCCCTCGACACCCACTGAATTCCAAAAGAACCTGATGCGTTTTGCGTTTTTACCCGCCGCCGTCAAGAAGAAGGATGGTTGGAGTACCGAGTATGGACGTCCGGATATACCGTATCTGCTTCGGGCTTTGAGCAAGGACTTTGGTAGGCGGACGTGCGTCTTTGTATGTGGTCCGCCCACGATGCGCATCAGTGTCAGTGAGACAGTTGCAGATCTCCAGCGATCCGTATGGAGTAAGAGTGATCGTGATGAGATCTTCCTGCACACGGAAAACTATGCGTTGTAGATCGTTACCTCGATCGCTTGGGGCCATTGGCCCTATGTTTTTTTCGTACCTGTGCATAGCGTGGTTTATGGTTTGGTGTATATACCCCTTTTCTTCTTGTTCTTTCCTTTACATGCAAGTTAGCACGGAAGAGAGACCGAGCTGTGATGCTCCTTTGCAACTAGCGATACTGTTGTGCCTATCGGTCGATTAGCTGTAGCCAATAGCCATTCTAGACCATCGAATCCGATGAAATGAAGATCGTCGACATTCGATATAAGGTGATTGTGATAGATCTTAGCTAAGCATGCATCCACTTTCATGCAGCGCCTTTGGCACTGGAATGGCGGGAGAAGCCGAACACATCAACCTAATGCTCGCGCAAACTCTAATCCGCTCCAGGCATCGAAGGGCCTATGGCAATGACAATGTACCCCTGGCTGTGCCAAAGCAAGCAGATGAAGCTACCTCGGCACACATCACTCGACTTTGACAGGGAGAAAGTGATCCGTCTCTGTGACGTGACGGACAAAGTGTCCAATTGAGGGCACCCTCCCAGCCACTCCCAGACGTCACTGTCACCTTCTCCATAGGGTCCCTCCAAGGCTTGCCAGGAATACCCCGCCAGCTCGCATGGAGGGGGTCAGTCTATTCATCCGTCAGCTCTCGCGGCATGACGCCTACCACACCCACCCCCCGGTCCGGAGAATGCTCTGGGTGTGCAGACGGGTCAAGTGTCCCGGGCCTGAACGGGGGGAAGAGTCCGATGGTTTCTGTGCGGCACAGCAGAGGGTGGTGGTACAAAGGGCAAGAAGCAAAGAGAAACAGTGGCATGAGTGTGTTGACTCGTAGGCTCGCAGGCGAGGACTTGGTTGATCATCCTCTCCACGCGAGATGCAACGCGCCCGGTGGAAGCGTTGTGCAGCGGTCAATGCAGCATCAAAGGAAGGACTGCCCGACCGGCGCAACGCGGGCGGTAAATAGGGCTGCATGTGGCCAGGAGGAGAGGGTGTGTGTATACAATGGGCGGCCATTATTGGTGTTGGTTTGGTCGACATGCTTTTGGACGAATGAATGCCGCTTGGCAACGTCAAGCTCACCCGCGTCGCGCTGGCCGTCTTCTCTCGTCTCAGTCAACAGCGAGGCAGTCTGCATCTCTCTCTCTCTCTCTCTCTCTCTTCTCCCTACGCCCCCCCCCCCTTCTTCCCAATCCTCCCTCGTCCTTTTTTGGCTGCTGTACCGTAACCGTGCAACCGCCATCTCCCCAGCCAGTACAACCTCAGCTAGCCTGCATCCGTGTTGTCATTGTTGCACTCCCGGGACCCAAGGAGAGCGCCATTCCGACACTATGATTTTTGTATAATGTGCACATGTCCGCCATCCCAGTGTCTGACCTGGGCCTCAACTCGAGCGAGAGCAGATTCCTCCAGCAACAAATTGTCGCAAGCCAGCAGGGCAGCCATTCCAGTCGCGCCGCTTCCCACGCCTCTAGCCAGGGCCGTCTCCTCCTGGATCCTTCGAGTTTGCAGGCGCTCAGCGCCCATTTTGATCGGCTGATGTACTCGATACAGCAGCGATGGCAGTATGTAAGTACACATTGTAGATGCTGCATCCCTCCCTCTCATGCGGACTTTGAACTGGTCCTTCTCCATATACCTCTGGTGGACATGAAACTGACCACCCCACTCCACCCTCCCCCAGCTCTCGCAACAAACCCAAACGGCAACCCAAGTCCAGTACGACCGAGCTGGTAACGCGATTCAAATGGCAGACGCAGAAATCGCCCGCTTCCGAGCCATCCTGAGCGAAATCGACCAGCTGGAAGTCGAATTCGACAAGGTGCGTCGGATTGGGGAAATCGTTAAAGGCTTCAAGTCGCGCGTTGCCCACTTGGACCGCCGGATATGAAACCACCATGCTGGGACTATGCAAGCGTAGTTTTCAGTTCCACAGAACCTCTACCCGGCAATCCACAACTCTACCTCTCTCTTACACACACACACACATTCTCTCTCTCTCTCTCTCTCTCTCTCTCTCTCTCTCTCTCCTCTTGCGCACGCTACGATTACGACACGACACACACACACACCCCATATATATACTCTGTCCCCACGGACACTCTACGCTTATCTAGTAAGAATGGAAAAGCCTCGCGGCAAATGGGAAAATACTAGGAAACACATGATCCAACGATAAATTGGAGAAAAGCCTCACGGCTACGCGGCGTTTTTTTAATTCATTCCACTTTTACCGAACCATGAGGTTTCTGTTCTGTCTTTTCTTTTGCGGGGTGCTACGTTAGGGGTTGACTTAATCCCAAACCTGCCTCCCTCTAATCGCTATTCTGTTTGTCACTTGGTACGTTTCATATTGTCCTTGCTCCGCGTTTGCCGTGTTACACTGGGATTGGGCAAAATCGCTATAGTTGCTACGTGCCAACTGCAGGCTCCCGCAATTACAACAAACATACAGTAGAGTAGAACAACCTCTAGGATTCGATCGACGCTGCAGGAATCGCATACCGCTTTTCCTACCCATCTACTGCAGGTACATGTCCATTCGGTATCTGCACAATCTTCTCCCTCCCCACCCCATCGTGTTGTCCCCTTGCCTATGGTACTTGCCCGCGAGAAAACCTTCAAACGGCACTTTTTCGCTCCCGTTGGAAATGCGTGGGTTACACGAGCATGAAGAAGGATGGGGATTACAGGTGACTGTTTCACCTGTTTAGGAATCAATCCACTCCCTAGTTAAACACAGACCCCCATCACCCAATCTAACCCGCTACATGTCGTCTCCACACCATCCCCCCATCTTTCCCCTCGCCCAGTCTTCCCCACATCTGCCTACCTACCTGCAGCGGGAGCGGGAACCCATCGCTCCAACTCCAGCTCCAGCCCCAATTCCCCCTCTCCTCCCCGACCTAGCGCCCCACATTCCACCACTCCTACCGACCTACAAGCCACCGGCCGCGCAAGACCAACCCAAACCCATCCCAACTCATCCACAACTTGTAATACTAAAGTCCAACAAACATCTCCTTGACCATCTACGCTGCCGCGCACGCCGCCGCTTATTGCGCCCTGGTACTACCTACCTACAGGCAGAATGATGCGCATACTGTGTCATGGCACCCGGATCCCGTAGCCAGGGAGCGAGCGGTGTTACCGGTACCGTACGATACGGTATGTTTTTGCGCCCCGGGCCTGGCTGGTGTGCGACGTGAGATTATGTGCGTGTGTGCTGTTGGGGGAGTGGAGAGGTTTGCGCGTTGTATGTGTGGATGGATTGGATGGGTGTGGGTTTGTTGCTGGTGGGGTGTGGGTTGGTGGGTGGTGAGGAGGGGTGTGGGGTTGTGATGCGGGAGGGAGGCTTTGGGGATGATGGAGTGTATTGGTGGCGCAGTGGATGAGATGGGAAAGAGGAGGGTTTTGTTGCGTCGACGTTATGGGCGATGGACGGTGGTGGGGAAGAAATGTGTATGGGTTGATTTTTGCTTTGTTGCCCTTGCGTACAAGGTTGGCTACCAGCGTTGTAATTTAGGGTTTATAATACAGTAGTGAGCATTAAACTAAATATACCTTTTTTTAGAGCTATTGTGCGATTAAGTTATTTAAAAAACATTACATCTATAAAAAATTATACAGTGCATACTTATCATCATCATCATCATCATCATCATCATCACCAACACATCCCCATCCAACCCACCCACCCAAACCCCAAACTACCCCCCAACCGCACAAACAGACACATCCCCAGCCCCAGCCACAGCCGTAACCGAAAAGTCATCGGCAGCAAAAATGTCCTTGTCTGCGTAACCCTCCGTCGTAACCCCAAGCGCAACCCGATGAGTCCTCCCCGTCCCCACAACCACCGCCTGCGCCAAATCCGTCGTCCCAATCTGCACCCACACCCCACGCTGCTCCTGCGTCGGACTGTACGTGTCCACCACCTCGTCGTCGAAATACAGGGCCATGCTGAACGGGTCCGTGGACGCGTCGCGCAGCGACTTGACCCATGCTGTAACGCTGACGCGAGTGCCCGGTGGGACGGCGAGTGTCTGTGTGAGAACGAGGGTGCTGCTTTGAGCGCCGGTGTTGCCGGCCATGGTGGTGCCGAAGTAGGTGCGGAAGTTGTTGTCGTTGCGGGTGTAGATTGAGTAGTAGACGTCTGAGCCTTCGGCGCGGTCGAAGGTGTATGCGGTGCCGGTTTGGGAGTCTGTCCAGGGGTTGCGGTAGGAGCCGCGGGTGGTGATTTCGAAGCCGGGGTTGGTGAGGTATTCTGTTGGTGCGGCGAAGCAGGGCTGAGTTGAGGGTGTCGAGGGTGTGCTGGAGGTGGAGGCTAGGGAAGAGGTTGTGGTGGTTGGGGGAGTCGTGGATGCGGCTGAGGAGGAGATGGAGGCCAGGTCGGATGAGCTGGGTGTTGCTGATGAAAGACTGCTGGCTTCGTTCGATGAGCTAGAGGCGATACTTGTGGTTGCTGTGGATGGGCTGATGGTCATATCAGAGCTACTGGATGAAGCGCTGGCCATGGATGATGAAGAGCTAGTGGCAGCCATAGGGCTCGATGCACTGCTGAGAATGCTGCTTGAGGAAGCCATAGAAGGGAGATCAGACGAGCTCACTGAGCTCGAGGACGATGTTACGGAATTGCTAGCACCGCTTGAAGTGGAGGGGCCGGATATGCCCGTGAAAGACGACTGACTCCATGTGCTGGCTGAGGTAGTCAGGGCGATAGATGATGGGGTGGACGTGGATGATGACATTCGTGAGGAGCTTGTCGATGAAGTGCGACTCGTGCTGGACGAGACTAATCCTGACGAAGGAAATTTTGTCATAGAAACAACGTACGAAGAACGGATGGAATAAGGCTTGCTGTCACACTTCCCGAATGCAGACTGACACTTTACTTCGCAGTAACTGTCCGCCCTCCCACACCATCCATACTGAGAGCAGCATTTGCTCGACGGGCAGGTCTGTCCCCAGTATTTCGGAGCGATGCCGTTTCCATACCCACAGCGATTGTTAGTGGATATCTTTGGCGTCGAAGAAGCAGCCGTGGCAGATGAACAGCGCGAGCTCGTGCTGGCAGTAGGATTGGAGCGAGTAGAGGTCCTAGATGGCGACATGGCTCGAGAAGATGATTGTACACTGGAGCAAAAACCAAACTTCGCATTGCAGCCAGCGCCACAATAGGCTGTCTTCGAACCACAGTAACCGTATTGACTACAGCAGTCGCCGTGTTTGCTGCCCTTGCAAGTATATCCTTTGTGACCACCGCATGAGCCGTCTCGAGAAATGACACCGGTCTTAGGTGGGTTCTGGTTGCACTGGCCATAACCTGTCTGGCAGCCGTTCTTTAGAGAGCAGTAGTTCGAATCATTTCCACAGTAGCCGTACCTATTATTGTTAGCAAACGATGCAATATATGCCTGGTGTTGACTTACTTTGAACAACAATTCCCAAAGATGGACCCGGCACAGGTCAGGCCACGATGATTTGGACCGCATCTTGCAGTTGTACTCACTGACCGAGCGGAAACAGTTGCGAGAGCTGCAAGAGCACAGATTACAGCTATACGCATATTGTCTGTATTATACTAAATTCTAGCCTCAGAACGATGTATTTGAGAAAGGCACCGATTTCAAAGACGAAGCTTCCACAAAATAATCTTGACAAAAGGTGAAATGCGTCTGATGCCCAACATAATTAAGAAAGAGTCAAGACCAGTCTTTTGAGTGACCGCCCAAGAAAGCATTGCTCGCCTTAAACGCTGAAGCCCTACAGATTTCCACGGTATCCCAAGCGCGCCTCATCGTCAATCAGGCTACGCTGCTCGTTGACGCGAGCCATGGCATTGAAAGGTCGAAAGGTATGAATATCGTAGCCTCGTCGAGAACATCCTCGCTTCTGTATCAGGCCTAGCTGGGTGGTGTTCTAGCCGCGTGCTAGACGCCAAAAGGATGATGTACAAGGCTCCTCAGCTCGAAATTGAAAAGAATATACGCCACACGCGCTAGCGCGATTCAGCGATACGAGGAACAATGCCGACATTTTGTCCTCGTTCAGACACGTGGTGTAGTGTCTACGGGGTTGCCGAGCCGTTTTGTAGACGGTGCTTCCTGAACGGGGGCTCCGTGCCTAAGCTCTGACAGGTAGTTTGTCCATTTTTGTATCGCCTCGCTACCGTGGTCTGTGGACTAGGAACACGAGCAAGCCCAGAACTGGAACTACAATGGTTATCTCGCGGACAGGTAGAGCAGAGACAGAATCCAATACAGATATCACAGTTGCTAGAAGACTAGTTCGCTTACATGAATTCATAGCTAGGCAGTATTAGTAGATAACAACAGAATTTCCAAGACACTTAACTTCAAGAACATCATCCGCACTTGCGAATCTGCTGTCTGTGTTTCACGAGGGAGCGGTCTGGCTGGTTTGATTTGCCCAAGGAAACAAATGGCCTTCTCTAGCAAGCAACGGCTCCAAATTAGTAAAAACAAAACAAACCAACTCTATCCTTAAACAACATTGCTGAGCTACAAGCGATGATATTGATGCCTCTGGTCAATTGCGTGTCTAGTTTGCTGGCTAGTTCCTCGCCAGCGGAGAAACAGTCGCTTGGCGGCAAGTAGCTTGAAAATAAACGACGGAAAGAAAGTGTTGCAGAAGATCACAACGGCACTGTGATTCCTCGGTTACCGTAATAGGCCAGGGGGTCCTTGTACCTAAGAAATCACTGCCAGCTCGTGACCGACACGGCCATCAAGTCAAATAGAGCTCGTTTCACCTTAGAGAGCATGCATATACTAATTGAGAGCATCTAGGTGTCAAGCGTTAGGCCCTATTCATTCGAGCTCTTTCTTGATAGTTTCAATCAAATAATCTATCTCCTGAATAATTCATGAGCCCAGTGATCAGGCCTTTCGATAGAAAGCTATGTAGCAGAGTTTCTTGGATGTAGACTACCAGTGTTAATTGTTTGTACAGACACGTAACCACTAACGCGTCAATACAATGCTAGTTTGAACTTCATAGTACCCTAAGATCACATTGCAAAGCAAATGTTATAGTAATGATTCTATCTCCAGTAAACAAGGAAGTAATTGTAAATTGCAATCTGATGATAGCTAGGAGAGATAGAAGCATCTTGAAACTCTAGTGTATATCAAACCATTAATTAGTAAACACATTGATCAATCTATATAGGCTGAAATTCACTGTATTGCGATTTTGGAATTTAATAGCTACACCTAGCTATCATATTTGTAAGCCTACAATACATGTTATTAAAGTGTAGCTGCATGTAAGGTATAATCTCCTGGCTTAATTAAATATCATCGGCATTCTGGATCCTCGTAAAGTATAAGACCGCACTGTTCACTCCATATGCTGGTTTCTAATCGTCTGCAGGCTATCTTCGCAAAGTGAAAGCTTGTACACACAGTGATACAGGGTCTGTGAAAAAAAGTTACTTACATTCACCACAGCATGCTAAACCATGAGCTAATTGCGAGTCACACGGGCAACAGTCTTGGTTCGAAGTACACTATTATAGGGTGAATTTACTGTGGTAGTATCTCGAAGTAAGACTTGAATACTATAGTGGAATGAAGCCATACCGTCAAGGCCTTGTTGCCCAATCCCACATGGCGTTCTTTCGCCCCATGCACTGCCAACGGCCATGAAGAGAACCAGAGTCGGAGACATGCGCATCTTTATCTAGTGAGAAAGTTCAAAGGAAGTAGAAGGTTGTAATAGTGATAGGGAATGAAAGGCAGCGCAATAGAGCCAGCAAATATATAGAAATTCCCCTACCGCTTCTTTCTACCGTGCAATCTGCGAAGTACGCATAAGATCCACCAAGAAAAGGGCAGACTTGCGCAATTACATCTAAAATCAACACCTTCCTTGACGATTCTACCCTGTAGTTTGCTGAGTATAACGAGGCCCACCAGGGACAGTGCTGGTTAGCTTTTGAATCTCGTGTCAGACCAGCCAAGGCCCACGCCCCCAAGTCCAGTGACTACGCACACTATCTCTATGCGCAGCTACATACAGGATCTGTTCGTAAAATGAATTTACAGGAGATGCAAATTTTAGGGAAGTGGAATTATCTGACTGACGTGATGAACCTACTAGCATAGTTGAATGCCCTATTGGCATCTTCCGGAACTGTCACCAGTGGCCACCATCCCCAAGTATGTGGTTCCCCTGCACGCCTGTTTAGCAAAAGGAAAGCTCATACACACACACACACACAATAAAACAGGGCCGATACTAACAAAAAGGGGAATTACTACCTAGTCTTCACACATGTTAACTTGTGATCTGATTCAGAATCACACGGACAGCACTGAGTAGTGATACTACATTCCGCTACACTGAATCAGTAGTTCAAGTAAAGACTCAGATACTAGAACATACCGCCAACACATTTTCTATGCCTTCACATTGTGCTTTAACGTGAACACTGCCAATATCCGTAAGGAGAATCAAAACAGGGGGAGATGCGCATCTTTGCATACAATAGCTTGAAAGAATCTAAAAGGTATATCAATGATATGATGCAGGATGAAAATCAGCGCAACAGGCCAAATCCATAAATCAATTCCCTCTCACCGCTTCCACAATACGGTGTACCTTGTACGATTTACGTTGAGTAAAGTACACGGCCCACTAAGAACAAGGATAATTGGCTTCCAAGATCTTACTCTGGACTGATCATGTTACACACCATGGCCACAACACAGTCAGATGCCGTGATCTAGTTGAAACTCGCCTATGTCAACGGGACTAGAATTGATTTATGAGAAGCCGGCGGTTTCGAAGGGCGCGTGGGTGCACATTATTGGAGGACCGAAGGGGCGTCACAGGAGGATGTATGGATGAGTAGTAGATTGCAACAGTATTATTGTGGGCATTTTGGTATAAAGATTTTGGTATAAAGATTTTGGTATAAAGATTTTAGTATAAAGATTTTGGCATAAAGATTTTGGCACAAGGACTCTTGTCTAAGGAAATTCTATATAAGGATATTTGTATATAGATATTCACGGGAGGATATATTCCTGTGAGGATATTCCCATGCATTTGACTGGTAGATCATAAGGTTTGCAATACGCAATGCGCCTTATCTGCACCTTGGCATGGGGACTAGAAAAAGCCATGATGTGGTATCTTGAACGATGCACTGCTTTCAGACAGAGTGAGTGGAAATATTTTGTTTTCCCGTTTGATACGGCATCTGAAGAAAATACTGCAGGTCTTCGTTTGATCATTTCTCCACATGGTGGCGAGTAATCCACATCTTGCCGTTTGTGGCTATGCATTTAAGCTTTTGATATTTCAACACTCTTTCTGCCTAAGTCTTGATTTCCAGCGAACTTAAATTTAGCATTGCAGGCTGATCGAAACGGTAGTAAACATCCCACGATATACGCCAATACGGTGTCTCTTGCATCCATTACCCAACATTCATTCTTTGACAGCCTCTGCATACGATTTGTCCATCGTATCCCCCTTCTTGATCAACTCGCCAACGATAAACGGAATAGCGTCTTGTTTCTGGTAATATTTCAAGTCAAATCGATCCCACTCGCCGGCATCTCTCAGGGCATCGTGCGTCTTCCTCTGCAACTCGCAGCCTCCCAGGAAAAAGGGCCAGCCGAGAACCGTGTAGACGACCTGAGCAAGCCGGGCCAGGAGACGGCCTTCAGTCCTCCACGGATTGACCACGTGTTCGCAGACGACCATGCGGCCGCCGGGCTTGAGAAGGGTGTAGAGATTCTTGATAGTCTGCTGAAGATGCGGGACACCACACATTACACGAATACAACAAATTTCGTCAAAGAGGCCATCGGAAGCCATGCCATCTTTGCCACTCTCGCTCATGATGCCGCTCTTGTGAAGAGCAGGAATGAGACTCTCGGGTTCACCACCGCAGAGCAGCGCATGAAACTTGTCCCCGAATCCGACTGCCTCTGCGTTCTGTAATAGTTGAGGATGAAGTTCCTCAACGGGCTCGATGCCATACAGGGCAGTGATGTTCTCGGGGGTAAAACGTTTTAGCATCTCGCCAGATCCAGGGCCGATGTCGAGAACTACGCCCTGACATTTTTCAAGCAGAGAAAAGGTTGGTCCAGGCAGTTCAGCGGACATGGCTTTGCCATTGTGCTTCCAAAGACGAGCAAAAGCCTTTCCTCGAATCTGGCTCAAGTTGAAGACTGCGAACGGGCGGCGCTCCACAAAGACGACTTCAAGTATGGTTATGAAGTGATCTGGCGTGATTGTCAGAAAGTTGATGTACAAGGCATTGGCGAACTTCACTCACGCCATATTGACAGCAGTAGCAATACCGATGGACGTAACAAGACTGGAATTCTCTCGCCGATCCAGCTGGAAGAGGTCATGATCGCGAATATCTTGGTGCGAGTTCAATGGATAGTGATGGTTGCTCAGGTATGAGACAACCCCCAGAGTGATGATGACACGTTAGATGAACGAAAACGCGTGTGGGAAGATTGCTGAAAAATCCCAATCGAACGTCAGAATGCCAATAAAGTGTGATGCTGCCTTTGAGTTAGACGCGAGGGAGGCGAGGGGAAGTGACAGGTCTAGAGGGCCCGACAGGAGAAAGCGTCAATGTGGTATGACGTCGTCTGGAGCTGGCGAGGCGCCAAGGCATCGCGTGAGGTCTCGTCTCATCTCACGATCAGCCAGAAGGCGATTGTTGTCGGTTTAGACGGAGACAATATTGCCGAAAGCAGAGTTCAGCTCTACGAACCCATTCCATAATGACTGATGGTAACAGAGAGTAGGATGTATTCTTGCAAAGGTCGAGTAATGTGTGTCCAACTTGTCTACAAGTTGGACGGGGGTCCCTCTTAGTGGGGCCGTTGTAGCCGAGGCGCGTGAAAGGCTGAGCTAGAGTAGAACACACAGTCTGCGAAGCCTTGCATGCTCTAGACTGCAGAGACTTTACTCTACATGCACGATAGACACATTACACAATAATGGCTGACACATCGAGTCAGAAGTACGCGTTGATAACAGGGTAGGTAGTAGACAACTCGCAACGCGCTGCTGTCAAGACCACCGACTTGACTGACATGTGACAGGTGTACGCCTGGTGGGATCGGACATTTCCTCGCCATTGAATTCGCCGAAAAAGGTGAGAAGAAGCAGAAGAAAGCTTTGTCAGAGCGTCGCGCTCAAAACATGCAGGTTTCCAAGTCCTGGGAACCGTACGCGATCCTTCAAAATACACCTCTCCTCATGCCAACATCACTTATCTCCCCCTCGAGCTCACGAGCAACGAATCAATCCGAGCACTACGCGAACGTGTCACAGAAATAACGCATGGCAAGCTGGACATTCTCTACAACAATGCCGGGCGAAACTACGTCGTGCCAGCCCTAGACTACGATGAGGCGGAACTGCACGAGCTCTTCCAGGCAAACGTCTTCTCCGTCATGGAAATGTGTCGCCAGTTCGTGCCACTACTGATTGAAAGGAAAGGAAGGATTGTGCAAACTGGGTCCGTGGCAGGCATAATGCCCTATGTATGGGGTGCACCGTACAATGCCTCCAAAGCCGCTCTACACACATACTCGGACACCTTGCGCGTCGAATTGGCTCCGCTGGGCGTGCGTGTCATCACTGTTGTGACGGGTGGGGTCAAGTCGAACATTGCGCGAACACATCGGGTGTTGCCGCCGGGGTCGTACATGCAGCCACTGGCAGATGACTACGAGAGGCGGTTGACGCATAGCCAGCAGCTGGGCATGGACACGAAGCAATACGCGCGCAGCTGCGTGAGGCAGGTGCTTGGTGGTGATGGTCTATTTAGTAAAACAAGGTGGATATGGGAGGGCAAGATGAGCTGGATTGTGTGGTTTGCATGGACTTATTTGCCAAAGGGTGTTTTGGACTACTACTTCACCTCGAGGTTCAAGCTGAATAAGTTGAGGGGTACGGTGGGACCTGATAAGAAGAACAGGTAGCGATGGTCAATGTCCGTTCTCTTCACTATCAAACTGATCAGTTGAATCCGTAAAGTTTTCATTCGCAACGCGCATACTTGCACTGGCCGGGCGACTCTCCGAGCTTGCCGCTTGAGGATCAGGGTATGCATAGTTGCAGACACGAAGACGAAGACGAAGACGAAGACGAAGACGACGAGCGGCTATCTAGTTCGGCCAAATTCGCTATAGAGGACGGCACTGAGCCGCGATGGGCGAACTTGTTAGGGCACAACGGACAGGTTAGGCGAGTCGTAACCAAGTACCTGGCGCGGGATTTAAAGGTGCGGGGTACTTGCAAATGTCTGTATTTGGCGGGCAGAAGGGTACAGGTGCAACAGACGGTTATGGCGTATCTCGTGACAGGTACCACTGTTGCTTGTATCTGCATTGGTGACACCCATCTGTAACCTTGGAATAGAACATTGCTATTCTTCACATGAGCGAGACAAACATCTACCGCTGTGCTGAAAGTCTGCAATACCAGAGTCGGACAGGCACGTTAAGCCTCGGTTGAGCACGGCGTAGCTGGAACATCTTTCCCGAACTCTGTAAGCCGAGCATTCTTCAACCGCGAGCTTCTGCTTCGAGTACAAAAAATAAAAGAGCCCAGTTCCTTTCTCTCTCCTGCAAGCGCCCTAGTACGACAGTCCCTCCTCCGTAGAGCTCCTGTGCAATTGACGTCGTCCGGTACGGCAGAAAGCTAATTGACCATTATGTCGGCCTTCAGTCGCACCTTGTGCAGTACCGCTTCACGAAACCTCCGCTCACGGTCTGGCGTTGTAAGCAGAGCTATCAGGCCTATTGCCGCTCGCGCTGCTGCTCCTTGCTCGATCCTTACTTCACGTATCACGCCCACGTCTTCCTTTTCCACCATGGCAGCACTGAGGAGCGCCGCACCGCCTGTCCAGGCCAAGCGCGAGTACGATCCTGAAATCAAGGACATGGCTAGCTACATCCACAACACGCCAATCGACTCTGAGCTTGCTGTATGTCTTTCCTATCCGAGCCTTGGAACGCCATAATGGCTAACCGCAATCTTGCTCCAGTTCGATACGGCACGATGGGTCTTTGTTGACACCCTCGGCTGCGGTCTCGAGGGTCTCCGGTTCGAACAGTGCAGAAACATCCTTGGCCCCGTCGTCGAGGGCACCGTTGTGCCCAACGGCGCCAAGGTTCCAGGTACCTCATACCAGCTCGACCCCGTCAATGCTGCCTTCAACATTGGTGCAATGATCAGATGGCTCGACTTCAACGACTGCTGGCTGGCTGCGGAGTGGGGTCACCCCTCTGACAACCTGGGTGCTATCCTCGCAACCGCCGACTGGATTACCCGTACGAACAAGGCAGGAGGCAACCTTGGAAATGGCAAAATCTTCAAGGTCCGAGATGTGCTTGAGGCCATGATCCGGGCCCATGAAATCCAGGGTTGCATGGCCCTGGAGAACTCGTTCAACAAGGTCGGACTGGACCATGTTATTCTTGTCAAGCTTGCGTCCACGGCTGTCGTGTCCAAGATGATGGGCCTCAACGAGTCGCAGACCCGCGATGCCATTTCCCAAGCTTTTGTTGATGGACAGAGCATGCGCACCTACAGGCACTCGCCCAACACCATGTCCCGCAAATCATGGGCTGCTGGTGATGCGTGCCAGACTGCTGTCAACCTGGTCTTGAAGGTGCTCAAGGGTGAGCAGGGTCTGCCTACTGTTCTGTCTGCCCCTACCTGGGGCTTCTACGACGTCAACTTTGGCGGCAAGCCATTCCAGTTCCAGCGGGGATACGGAAGCTACGTCATGGAGAACGTTCTCTTCAAGGTCTCCTATCCTGGTAAGCCATATCCAGAGATGAACTACCACTCAACAGTAACATACTGATTTTGAATCTAGCCGAGTTCCACTCGCAAACCGCCGTCGAGGCTGCCCAGCGTCTGAACAAGAAGCTCAAGGAAATGGGCAAGACGGCTGCAGACATTGAGGGTGTCGTCAACAGGACCCACGAAGCCTGCATCCGCATCATTGACAAGCAATTCAAGCCCATGGAGAACTTTGCCGACCGTGACCACTGCGTCCAGGTAAGCTCAGCTAGCCCTCAAACCTTTCAGACCAACACTAACCCACCTCCCAAACAGTACATGGTAGCAACCATGTTCGTCTTCAACCGCCTTGAAGCCACTGACTACCCCGACGACTCGGAAGCCGCTACGTCGGAACTGGTGGAGTCCCTGCGCCAACGCATCTCCTGCGTCGAAGACCCACAATTCACAAAGGACTACCACGACCCGGAGAAGCGCACAATCTCCAATGCGCTTACCGTGACGCTCAAGGACGGCACTGTGCTGGACGAGATGGTTGTCGAGGCGCCGCTGGGCCACCGCCTACGTCGCGAAGAGGCCAAGCCCGAGATTCTGAAGAAGTACAAGAGGCATTTGGCACCGCACTACCCGGCCGAACATGTGGAGAAGTTGGTCAAGCTGGCGCAGGATGCCAAGACGATTGATAATATGGATGTGGATGAGTATGTGGACTTGTATGTTAAGAAATAGATCTTGCAAGTTGCAGGTATGAGGGCAATATGAATATGAATGAGAATGACAAGATATGAAACTCCAGAGGCATGATGAACAAGATATCGGATTCTAGAGGCATGATGGAGTGTTTGGAAGATATGTGGAGTCACGATCAAGATTTGACTCGCCAATGTCCCACCACGGATGATAAAGCAAGATGATAATCCCATTGTCGTTATTGAACTCTTGGCATGGGGCTAGCTGCAGGCGGGAGATCGGCCGTGGTAGTGGTACTCTAGTTCGTCAAGTAGTGCAAAAGTTGGGGTCAAGGTAGTGGTATGTAAAGAGTATAGTATTCATACGCAGCCATGTGTCGTGTACCTAACATGTCGAATGGTTATTGTGGAGGGGGTTATGGTGATTCTGTTATGCTCCATGTTGCTTCGCTGGACATGGTATGGAGTGTGTAATGGATGCGTGTTGATGGCCTTGGGGTATGGATGGGTAGGTACTCTAAGCTACTGTAATTAGTAGTAGGTTAGATCAAGGACCATAGAGTAGGCATAAGTAAGTGTATTGGAAGTCGTAATGTCTTGGCGGATGGCCGGGCTTCCGCCCCGGTCGGGAATATCCAGCCGTAGCAACCATCCTCTCTCTGACGTCTCCCCATTCACACCTCAAACGCTCCACAGAACCCACCAGCTTTTATCTTTACAAGGTGGCAATTCACCGCGCGGCCTGTTCGTCTGCCCACATTGCCATTGCGCATTATACCCTTCCTCCTCGCCAGCCTCGTTGGGCGCTCCAACGTGCCCGCCACAGTCCATGTGCTGCCTAATCTCCGAGCACGAGACATCCCCCCGCTGAGCTGCTGCTGGACACCTGCTGGGCACCACCGTTGCACTTACTTCTCCCGCTCCCCAGTCCCAGCCACACAGGACAACAGTGCCCTCGAACGCTCCCTCCTCCCTCTCCCCATTACTAAGCCCGAGTGCGCGTACCCGTCTGTCGCCATGCCGTCGATTCTCTCGGATGAGGACAAGCAGACGGTGAAGCGCACAGTGCCCAAGTCGGCTAACAAGATTCACGCCGTCGCCGTCGCCAAACTTTACGTCGCCTACCCCGACCGTCACCGATGGACGTACACTGGTCTGCAGGGTGCCGTGGTGCTGGCGAATGACCTCGTCGGCCATACCTTCTGGCTCAAGCTCGTGGACATATCGCCCGCCAGCCGCGGCGTCATTTGGGACCAGGAGATCTACGACACCTTTTCCTACAACCAGGACCGCGTCTTCTTCCACACGTTTGAACTCGAGAACTGCCTGGCAGCCCTGTCATTCGCCGACGAGAAGGAGGCCAAGACGTTCAAGAAGAAGATTGATGACCGCGAGAAGAATGCGCACAAGAATACAAAGAACAAGCCGTTTGGCTTGTCGAGTGGAAACAGCATGCCTCCCATGAACGGCAAGGGCGGGGCTGGTGGCAGCCATGGTCTTCTTGGAGGCTTGTTTGGACATCGCCGTGCCTCGCAGTCTGGACCACCACCGCAGTCCATCATCCCGCCCACGTCGCTCACATCGCCCTCGCAAAGCAGCCACTCCAATGCAACCAGTGCGCGAAGCTCGGCAATCGATACCACAGATCCCTCATGGCAGCCGCTGCTCAAGGAACTACTGGCCATGGGCATTACCGAAGACCAGATTGAGGAGAACGCTGACTTTATTAAGCTGTACATTGAGCAGAGAAAGACCGAGGAGAAGCTCAAGGAGGAGACCGGTGAGCGCAGAGCCAGAGCGCCTCCACCGCCTCCACCGAGTGCTCCTCCCGGAAGAGCGCCCATTAGTCCTCAGACTACAGGCACCTCACAATCTTCGAGGCGAGGACCCCCACCTGCGCCTCCGCCAGCACGAAGGACAAAGGCCGACGCATCAGCAATCAATCGCAACTCTTCTGCCAGTCCATCACCCTCTCGAGAGGCGACACCGCCGCCAGGGCCACCGAAACCAGTCTTCAGGGCACCTCCACCCATTGCTGAAGCCGGCAAGTTTGCCAACATGGCTCCACCTTCGAACCGAGCACGAGCTTCATCCAATGTCACAAATCCCGGTCCTCCGCCGCCTCCACGGCCGTCTAAGACACCTGTACCCGACGAGGATAAACCGGCAGGAGGCAAATTCGCTGTACCTCCTCCCTTTGCTGGAAGTCGTCTTCCTTCAGGACCACCTCCACCTCCCCCAAGTCGCGGGCCGGTACCGCCACCACCACCAGCGCGGGACACTCCCTCTGCACCCCCGCCGTTGCCCCCGAAGTCTGCCACGGCTCCAGTTCCACCTCCACCGCCGCCGATGAACAGCATTCCTCCACCGCCCCCACTACCATCTTCCTCCTCACGCCCTGTACCACCTCCCACTGCAGCACCGGCTCCTCCGTTACCACCACCTACAAATGTCGCACCCGCTCCACCACCGATGCCAGGAAGATCGATTCCCCCACCCCCTCCCATGCCAAATAGCGCCGTGCCGCCCCCTCCACCCATGCCCACGAGCGCCGTGCCTCCACCACCACCAATGCCAAGTACAGGCGCACCTCCGCCTCCGCCCCCCATGCCCGCAGGCTCTGGGCCACCCCCACCACCACCCATGCCTTCTCGAGATGCTGCTGCGCCGCCACCACCGCCCCCACCAGGCGCGGCACCCTTACCCAAGCCCGCGCCTGAACGAAGCGGTCTGTTGGCCGACATTCGCAGCGGCGCCAGGCTGAAGAAGGTGTCTGACCAGGAAAAGCGCGATCGTAGTGCGGCTGCTGTCCCGGGCTCGGAAACCGCGGCTGCTGGTGGATCGAGTGGGGCTGCGACGCCCGGGGGTGAAGCCGGGTTGGCGGGTGCATTGGCGAGTGCGTTGGCGGCGAGGAAGGCTAAAGTTAGTCATAGTGGTGAGTGTTTTCTCTCTTTTTTTTTTGCCTTGGTTACGATCAAGTTGGGTGTGAGAGTGTATATGCTAACGTGTCTTCTTTTTAGACGATGAGTCGGATAAGGATGATTGGTAGGTGAGATTTTTGTTTGGTCTTTTATGATGGGAGATGAACATATGGAGAAGGGGTTTGTGGGGACATGTTGAGTCTGGGGATGGTTTGGTGCGGGCAGATCCAGCCTTGCACGTTTTTGGTTGGTGGTTGGGGTGTGGGTATAGTTTAACTTGCAAATAGAGAGGGTGTGAAGGAGATGGGGATGGGGATGGGGATGGAGATTGTCCTCTAGAGAAGCAGAAGTAGAAGATGAGGATTCAAGTATAAGTATTAATAAAAACATCCTCTTCTCTGCTGTTTTAAGCCTTGTGTCGATGGCTGGGTTGAGATTGGCTTGGCTTTGGATATGTATTTGGATGTGTTTTTGGGTATGGATGTGGATATGGGCATCGACATCGACATCGACATGATAGGTCCAGGTCCAGGTCCAGACTCAGGTACATGGGATGCTACGTTCCTACGTCCTACGTCCTAGTTGATACATCCTGCAAGGTCGTATACATGCATGCATGCATACTTTTATCTTTCATCTTTTATTGTATAATTTGTGTAGAGGTAGAGGAAGGGTAGGAAGGGGGGGGGAGTGTGATGTGTGGTACGGCATACACACCCACCATCAGTTCGCATGCTAACCACAATGCTGAGATTATCTTCTAGCCTACATCATACTACAAAATACTACAACATGGAAACTACAGGCTGATTAGCTCAGTAGCACACACCCAAAAACACCTATTGTAGTCGCTGATAGGATCTCGTGGTTCGAGGGGAATGAATCCTGGTGAGTCTTGTTAGAGCTCTGTCGACGAGGTTGGGATCGCTGGGTGTTTGGTATACTGGGAAGGAGGAGATGGTACTGGTTTGGGGGTTGTTAGGGGTGGGATGGTCTTCTTGGGGTTGTTGGTAGTGACGGGATAGCCTTTTTGTGCGGTCTAGTAGTGATTGGGTAGTGGTCTTCTTGTCGTCCGTCTTGTCGTCCGTCTTGTATTCCTTCTCCTCCTCTTCTTCTTCACTAGCACGGAAAGGCTTCTTCATCTCCCCAAACGGAGTGAAAATCTTTGTAAACCACTCCGCATCCAACTGCTCCGCCCTTCTAATGTCATCGAGACAGTATTCACACAGCAAATTACCCTCCCATTCCAAGTTACAGTCGATTACGTTTGACAGATAATTTAAAAAGCTAAATGTCATATCCCGAACTAACTCAATCTGCGACCAGTGTTCTTTGTGTTTTTGTCGCACATCCATGCGTATATGCATCCATTCCTTGTCCAAGTGGTGTCCACGGCGGAAAACACATTGATCGAATGCGATTGCATGATTTTCGATGGTTTTTACTTTTTCTTCAGCGTCTGCATTGAGTCTGAGTTGTTTGCCTTTGATGGCTTTGCGGAGGAGGTAGGGGTGGGCGAATGATTCACACTTTTCGCACAATTTTTCGCTAGGGAACTCCTTTTCGCAGCCGCTATTGGCAAAGAGGCAATGAGTATCTATTTCTAGGTGATATCGAGGTTTCTGGTGTGTATTGAAGAATGGGCAAGGTGGTCGTTCTGTTTCGAGAGTGATATTGCGGGTAGGGGAAGACCAGAAGTGAGCGTTCTTTGTTGGGATTTTGTAGTCCTGGCATGCACTGATGATTCATGCATAATGATAGATCATCGATGGCTGTACAGCGATGGTGTGGCTCGTAGCGATGAGCTTTACGTGTGTAACTGCTTGTTAGTCTAGTTTTGATGTACGACAATCTGGTCGTTCCCGGGTGTAAGGAAGTGTGAGTCCTTCGTTGCGAAAACTTTGAAGCTTGCAAAGCTGTAAACTTGATGTGGCTATACAAATCACAGCTATCATCTGAACGATGGTGGGTGCTCTCTTTGTATTTTGATCGCCAAGCGTGCATGTCATCTTATCGGTGGGAGTGATTGACTGCTTGTATGTTCAATAAGTTCAAGGTTACGAGTAACTTCGAGTTATAGCATCCTGGTCAAACACAAATTCAACGTCAAGATAACACAGTCATGCGCTCTTGTGACATTGATGAACACAAGAGCAAATCCGGTCGGAGGTGAAAGAGACGAGAGGTGGCGCGTGAAAGAAAGGCCTGACGTGAACTATCCGTACGCTACGAACGTAGATGCAATTTTACTAACATTTCGAAATCATTATACAGTTCTTGTTTTCGATGTGCCCACAGGTAAGAGTGCTGGACTGAGGATTGGCATCAGCCTGCGTGTGATGTGAGCGATAATTTGAGAGCTGACATGGCTGAGGGGGAGGGAAAAAAGAGAAATGAAAGCGCCTAGCGTGTTAATTTGACTTCTACTTTTCACATGGGTCCAATCCGCGTATTTAAGAGGGAAAGGAGTGGTCGATCTGCTGGCAACGAGACATGTAGTTGTACAAAAATGCATCTTGACATCAGCCTCCTTTGTAATTAAATAGGACTTTATGTTTCGGTATATTCGGTTTCATAACAGCAATGCAATGCTTCAAGCCAAAGTGTATTGTAGCCTAGTAGGCATTTTGTGGGTACCGATCCAAGCACTGAATGTCGACCTGAATAACGGAGAATGATCGGAGCGACTTCATTGGTGTGGCCCACAGACCATCGAGCTCTGAAATGCTATATTCGAATAATATGCTATGCAAGAGAGACAGCAGGTCCACAATGGTGTAAAAATTGGAGCCCAAGTCTGTTTCGCAGTCAAGACTCAAGAGCCAGAGTGGGTTGAAGTCAAGTACAAAATGCGTGGACCCTGAATGAAGTGGTGACGAAGGTCGCTTTGTTAGGGCTGAAATGTGGAAGAAGTCAACTGCACGCTAAGCCAAATGGCGGGGTTCAATAGGCCCTCGACTCCGACCCGCCGCCGCCTTTCGGCATCAATAAATTGTGAACACAAGACTCATCGCAATCCCGCAATTCTTCCGTGAAACCTTCACGTCCACTTTGCATAGTGACTCACGACCGTCTCTTTCGTAAAAGGACGCTCTTCCTCACAACTGTTGCATTGACATACAACTCCATTCCTTTCACTTTACCCCCACCCATTGACGAAACGCCATGGAGGCCATCAAGAAGACGTTTGCACAATGCAAGAAGGAGGGCAGGGTACGTTCATGAAAGCACAGTGAAGTGGTTCAAAACTGAAGATGACTTTAGGCGGCCCTCGTCACATATGTGACTGCAGGTTTTCCTACCGCACAGGAGACGCCTGATATCATGCTTGGGATGGAAGCTGGTGGCGCAGGTGCGCTCAATGAGCCTTTGAGAGACTAGAAAGATGTCAATTGACACGTACAGATATCATCGAGCTCGGCATGCCTTTCACCGATCCCATTGCAGATGGCCCCACGATTCAGACGGCCAACACTGTATGTTGACTCATCGAAGGCGAGATTACAACACGCAGTCTAACACCATTCGTGTACAGCAAGCTCTCAAGAACGGCGTCACCACGGCCGACGTACTCCAGATGGTCAGGGACGCGAGGAAGCGAGGCCTCAAGGCGCCCGTGATGCTCATGGGATACTACAACCCTCTCCTGAGCTATGGCGAGGAGAAGATGCTCCAGGATGCAAAGGAGGCGGGTGCCAATGGTTTTATCATGGTTGATCTTCCACCTGAGGAGGCTCTACGCTTCAGGAACTTCTGTCGCAGCTATGGGTACGTTGATAGGCGACATCGACATACAACTATGCTGACACGGCGACTACAGGCTTTCTTACGTTCCTCTCATTGCTCCGGCAACATCTGAGCACCGCATGCGCGTCCTTTGCAAAATCGCCGACTCCTTCATCTACGTCGTATCTCGCATGGGCGTGACGGGCGCTACTGGAACCATGAATGCTGCTCTTCCCCAGCTGCTTGAGCGTGTTCACAAATACTCTGGAAATGTCCCAGCTGCTGTTGGTTTTGGTATCAGCACGAGGGATCATTTCCTCAGCGTCGGCAAGGTCGCCGAGGGTGTCGTTATTGGCAGCCAGATCGTCAACACTCTGATCAAAGCAGCTCCCGGCCAAGGTGCGAAGGAGGTTGAAAAGTACTGTGATGAGATCTGCGGCAAGAGCAGCCGACAGACGACTCGCGAAGTTGGCATCGTCGAGGCATTGTCGGAGGCCAAAGAGCCCACTGGCGTCCAAGTGGACAAGGTCATCACCGATGCCGATACTCCCGACGGCCCTGGTCTTGCCGACCAGCTTGAGCAACTCAACATGCACGAAGAAGGGGAGAAACACGCTCACCCTCCTCGGTTTGGGGAGTTTGGCGGTCAATATGTGCCCGAGTCGCTCATGGACTGTCTTTCAGAGCTCGAACAGGGCTTCGGGGCGGCTGTGAAGGATGAAAAGTTCTGGGAAGAATACCGATCGTACTACGACTGGATGGGTCGTCCAGGCCATTTACATCTCGCTGAGCGCCTCACGGAACATGCGGGTGGTGCAAACATCTGGTTGAAGAGAGAGGACCTGAATCACACTGGTAGTCACAAGATCAACAATGCACTCGGACAGGTGCTCATTGCACGAAGACTTGGAAAGACCGAAATTATTGCTGAGACAGGAGCTGGACAGCACGGTGTTGCAACCGCTACGGTCTGTGCCAAGTTCAACATGAAGTGCACCGTTTATATGGGCGCCGAGGATGTCAGGCGCCAAGCTTTGAACGTGTTCCGCATCAAGTTGCTTGGTGCTCAGGTTGTGGCTGTTGAAGCTGGATCGCAGACACTGCGCGATGCTGTGAATGAAGCTCTACGGGCATGGGTCGTCAACCTTGACACGACGCACTACATTATTGGATCGGCCATTGGCCCCCATCCGTTCCCTACTATTGTTCGTACCTTCCAGTCGATTATTGGAAACGAGACGAAGCAGCAGATGCAGGAAAAGCGTGGCAAGCTTCCCGATGCAGTGGTTGCCTGTGTTGGAGGGGGAAGCAATGCTGTTGGCATGTTCTACCCCTTTTCCAAGGATCCTTCTGTAAAACTTCTCGGTATTGAGGCTGGAGGTGATGGGATTGATACCGACCGCCACAGCGCCACGCTTTCTGCGGGAACCAAGGGCGTGCTCCACGGTGTCCGTACTTATGTTCTCCAGAACAAGCACGGGCAGATTAGCGACACCCACTCGGTCTCAGCCGGGCTTGATTACCCTGGTGTTGGCCCTGAACTGTCGAGCTGGAAGGATAGCGAGCGTGCCAAGTTCATTGCTTGCACCGATGCAGAAGCCTTTATTGGCTTCCGTATCATGTCTCAGCTCGAGGGCATCATTCCAGCGTTGGAGACATCGCATGCGGTCTTTGGAGCGATTGAGCTGGCCAAGACGATGAGCAAGGACCAGGACATTGTGATTTGTGTGTCTGGTCGTGGTGACAAGGACGTACAGAGTGTTGCTGAGGAGCTACCGAAGATTGGACCCAAGATTGGCTGGGATCTGAGGTGTAAGTGTTGAAACTGGTGACTGACATGTTTGTTGTTGGATCTTTACTAACTGTGTTGTAGTCTAGGACGAGATGCCGAGGCACTTTATGTAGCATTGCGCTACCTACGCTACGTAAGTAACAATACATGTAGGTAGACTCAAGGAAACGTACAGAACTGTTTTTGGATCTGGCAATGTCAAAGTCTTGTGTGCCATGTTTGCAGCACGTCTTTTTTGTGACGAGATGAAGGACTTTGCTGGGGTGATGAGATCAAAGTACCGGTACTAGAAGCCCAAGCCCATGGATTGAACTACCTGGTATCTTGCTTGCATGTGCATCGCACAGTTGCCCGCATGGTATGGGCCGCATGGGGGTATGAACAGTCCAACGGGATTATTTTTTGGTATACGATAGCTATCACGTTCTTGATGGTGATTGGTAGCCCTGGAGGCGGCAGAGGAGGCCATGCTACCATGCAAGAGGAACGGCTCTTTACTGCTTACTACTTAGGCTGTCCATGCTATCGATTGCAGGCCTCTTTTCCCGTTCCCTGTCTGTCCACTGCGCACATCTCCGTCCCTCCTATGACGACGGCTATAGTGTTGACCATGCCCGCCCGCTCTACCTATGCACATTAAAAAAAAACGTTCCCATGACCATGTTCCAATCTAGTATTCATGCATTCTCGTGATCTGAAAGAGGTCTGCGGGCTCGAGACTTTTTGCTGCTGTGGCAGGGCGAAGATGGGTCGGGAGCCAACCAATGGGCCCATGTGCGAGCTCCCGAAAGCTTCTTGGCCATTGCGGTGACGAAAGCGCAGGCTGCCATGCCCAGCTCCAGACCAGATCTTCGGCCGCGCCAATGAATGCCCACACCACTTTACCTAGAATCCTTTTGATCCAACGCCTCCACATGCTGCCGCTCCGCCTGACCTCCTATCGCTAGACTACCTAACACTTAGCCTGCCCTGCTTTCCCCCAGACAGACCTCTTTCACCCACCACCACCATCACCACCCTTCATCCTGGACGCCTTTTCGTCCTACCGTGACATTGGGCCTTCACAGGACGTAGAGCTCCAGGAACTACCACCCAATCACCAGAGACCGACAGAGAGAGCGCAGGAAAGCAAAAGGGAACGCAAGCGGCGGGAGAAGCTCGAGCAGCTTCGCGAAGCCGACGAGATGAAGTTCTCCCATAGCTTGCAGTTCAATGCGGTGCCCGACTGGAGCAACCACTACATCGCATATAGTAACCTCAAGAAGCAGTACGTTGCAATGACACTCTGTTACCAACCCCCCACGAATAATCGAGACGCCTAAATATGCTGACAATGTGCTGCCTGAAGAATATACAACCTCGAAACCCAGATCAACCAGAAGCTCGCACATCATGACGCCGAATCCTCCCCCCTCCTCAACGGGGAGGCCGACGATCCGGACAAGACATTCACAGCCACGCTTGATGCCGAGTTGGACAGGGTCGTGTCTTTTTATGGCGCAAAGGAGAAGGAGATTTACAACGAGGTGGACGCTATACTCAGGGATGAAGAGGAATACGAGGAGGGTCAAGCAGTGTACGAGCAAGAGCAGGACAATGCGCCGCCTGGCAAAACGAGGCGCAGCGGGAGCGTCTTCAAGCAAATCGGCTTCAATCGACCACGGGCGATGAGCGCCGTTAGCGGTACATCTACAGTAGAAGAGGATTCAGACGAAGAGGCAAACGAGACTTCACAGCTGCGCAAAGACAAAAGCCCAGACGGCAAGCAACGAAGACGGCGACGGACGACGGACGAGGAGGCACCCTCTTCAAACGACTGGCCGTCCTCAAGGCGGAAACCGAGCGTTGCTTTTGACGATTACAACGATATGTCTTTTTCAGCGCTATATGATGAGGGCGTCTCGCTGAAGAAGAGAGCCATTAGCGTTTACGTGTTACTCTGTGAGCTGCGCTCGTTTATTCAGTTGAACAAGACGGGTTTCGAAAAGGTCTTGAAAAAGTACGACAAGATCTTGGACCGCAAGCTGAAGAATGAATACCTCAACAAACACGTCTACCCAGCCTATCCGTTCCAGCAAAGCACAATGGACCGTCTGACGCGTAATCTCGAGCGCATGGAAGCTGCTTACGCGCAAATATGCACAAAAGGCAACATAGCCGAGGCCAAGCGCGAGTTGCGGCTACACCTGCGGGAGCACGTGGTGTGGGAGCGAAATACCGTATGGCGGGAGATGATTGGGATTGAACGAAAAGCGCAAGCAGCCAACATCGGCATCACACAGACTTTGTTGGGTAATGAGCGGACGGGTGGGAAGATACGGCTTCAGGGGGATGAGACCGAGGCAGACATGAAGGAGGTGGATACGCCGATTGGGAAATACCGCTGCCCACAATGGCTGATCAGTAAAACGTTTTGGATGCTGGTTTGCTGTATTGCCGTGTTTCTTGTGCTGCTCGTCGTTCCCATCATGGAGGCGCCAGAGCAGCAGAATTGCTTGGCCATGGTCGTCTTTGTCAGCATGCTGTGGGCTACAGAGGTAGGCAAAGTGCTTCTGATGCAAAGAGCTTCACTAACGACAATAGGCTATCCCACTGTTCGTCACATCGCTACTTGTCCCGTTTTTGGCTGTCACGCTCGATGTGGTTCGAAGTGATACAGAGCCACATCAACGCCTCAATTCAAAGCAGGCGGCCAGCTATGTGTTTGCTGCCATGTGGACGCCCGTCATTATGCTTTTGCTTGGAGGCTTCACTATTGCTGCCGCTTTGTCAAAGTACAATATTGCCAAAATGATGGCTACCTTTGTACTGAGCAAGGCTGGAACGAAGCCAAGGACTGTTTTGCTGGTCAACATGTTCGTCGCCATGTTTGCTAGCATGTGGATCAGTAATGTTGCAGCGCCTGTCCTCTGTTTCTCCATCATCCAGGTACGTTGAAAAATGTTAGTTTGTTCCGTCATTACCAAGCTGACTTGCACAGCCCATCCTCCGTAACTTGCCCGGCGACTCGGACATGACCAAAGCCCTTCTCCTCGGTATCGCCCTCTCCTCCAACATTGGCGGTGCTGCATCCCCCATCGCCTCGCCCCAAAACCTCATTGCGCTCCAGAACATGCACCCCGAACCCTCATGGGGTGTCTGGTTCTTTGTCGCCCTTCCCGTCTGCATCATCTCCATCCTCTGCATCTGGGGCCTCCTCCTCGTCACCTTCCACCCGGGCAAAAACACAACCATTGTCGCCATCCGGCCGCTCAAGGACAAGTTCACCGGCGTCCAATGGTTCATCAGCATCGTCACCATCCTGACCATTCTCCTGTGGTGCATCAGCCACCAACTCGAGCACATTTTCGGCGACATGGGCGTCGTAGCCATCATCCCGCTCGTCCTCTTCTTCGGCACCGGCATCCTCACCAAAGAAGACTTCAACAACTTCCTCTGGACCATCATCATCCTCGCCGCCGGCGGCCTCGCTCTTGGCAAATCCGTCAACTCTTCGGGCCTGCTGCACACGATTGCAGAGTCCATCACGGCCGGCGTCGAGGGCCTGAGCTTGTACAGCGTGCTGGTGGTTTTTGCGGCGCTCATCTTGGTCGTGGCGACTTTTATTAGTCATACCGTGGCCGCACTGATTGTGCTGCCGTTGGTGCAGCAGGTCGGACAGCAGATGCCGGAGCCGCATCCGAATCTGCTGGTCATGGGCGCGGTGTTGATGGCGAGTGGGGCCATGGGGTTGCCGACGAGTGGCTTTCCAAATATGAGTAAGTTTTTTCAATTCCTTTTCTTTCTCTCCCTTCTTTCATATCCACCACTCCCCGCATACTCCTACTTGACCACTGATCCATCGATACATGTACACTGACTAACATCACACAGCCGCCATCATGATGGAGGATTCTCGCACCGGACAGCGCTACCTCGAGGTCAAGCACTTTTTGACAAGAGGCATTCCTGCGTCCATTATTACATTTGCCGTTATCGTTACGGTCGGGTACGGATTGATGCTTGCAGTAGGGTTTTGAGCGGGATGTTGACAGGGGGAAAAGATGAGGAGAAAGGAAAGAAGTGACATGTGTGGTTGGCTTTTGTTTCAGGTTTGAATGTGGAGGCGTGCATGCATTATCATGGGTGTTTTTGGTGCGCTTTGGCTTTGGTTTGGTTCGCTCTCGTCTCGTCTCGTCGAATTTACTTCACGTGGTCGTGGTATAGATTTGCTGAACATGGCACTGTTGCGTTTGGCTGCATTGCTGGTAAGGTGTGACTTGATGGGATGGAGGCGCTTTGCGTTTATCGCTAACATACCGTACTATACCAAACTAAACTATACTATGACATAACATACCATAACATAACATAATTGCTTCCGTAGGAAGCATTACAGCTCCCGGGATGGGGCCCAAGAAATTTGGAGCGCAACCTCTGATTAGCCGAGATAAAACCTCTTCTGATTGGCTAGACGGAAGCTGAACATTTCAACGTAAGCAGGTCATGTGATAGCTGCTGTACTATCACACGTGACCTACCCACTGCTACTGGACTAGCAGCCACTCCACTCTACCTGCACCTCCCCTTCTGCCCCCTCCTTAATTAGACTAATGCTATCTGCAGAAGCAGCCTCAGACGTATGCAGACCTTTTTACGTCTGGCAGAATATCGTTATACCGTAACCTAACATACTTGTAGGTTATTCTTATAAAAGTAGTGTTCTAGTAGAGGAACCGGCCACGTGATGGAAAAAAGCAGCACTAGCAGTGGCAGAGGTGGTGATCGCGATAATGGGTTGTGTACGGTTATGTATGGATTGGGGGTCGGGGATAGAGTATAATGTGGGAGGAGGATATAGGTATGGATGGCCAGGTTCTGGGACTTGGGAGAAGGGGCTGATGGAGGGGCTGGTGGGGAATTGTCGAGGAATCGAAGTTGAGAAAATTGGGATTGCGTGGGGGTGATTTGTGGGGGTTTGTTGTGTGAGATGGTGTGGTGGGGTAAACGTGTGCATGGGCTTGGGATCTGATGGCTGGCGGTGACATCATGTGACAAAAAACAAGGCAGGTGGACGTCCTGTAACCTACTCTACAGTATCGTGGCGCGCAGGTCTCTTCTTAGGGAATGACTTCACCCCAACTTTTACCCAGCAATCAGGCATTGAATCACTGTGCCTGAGGCAGTCTGATCGATATTGTTCCTCTACAATGGCATGCAGTGGAGAGGGGGGGGAATGAGACGGTAGACCCTGACACCTCTGCACAACACACACACTCCGTCAACTTCAATCGACATGATCCCTCCCCTCCCTCCACTCATTAAACTCAAGCCACTCGTTATACCGCCGAACCTGCTCCTCGAGCGCCCTCGATCGCCGACGTCTCGCATTAATACAAGACATGGAGTCTACACCAACTCGCATTAGCTCATGAAAGCATGCCATATACAATACACAACAGGCGCCGTTGAAACGTCAAACACAAACAGATCATCATACTTGTTTGGAAAAGTCCACGGATCGTTGGCCAGGCGAGAGTAATGATAAAACATACAATCGCCATACACACTCCGATTAGCGCTAGGATCGCTTCCTTCGACCACCCGGCTGGTGGGGGGTCAGGGTTGTCACGGCTTGAGAGGACAAGGCCTGAGATTTGGTTTACTTGGACGAAGAGGGGTAGGAATAGGGTAGACAGGAGGATCATGTTGGGGTGGTGAAAGCGTGGGTTTGCTGGAAGGAGTTGGACGAAGAGTGGGGTAGATGGTAGTTGAATTCCAATGCTGTTGTTGGCAAACTCAGACAAGTGTCGTTGCTAGATCAAGAAGACGGCAGCACGGAGTCGTCTGAAGATAACTTCGAGAGAGATTCATGTACTATTTGTAGGAATCACCGCTGTACACTCTAAGGTTCACCTCTGGCAGTTAATTCAGCTTATGCACGAAAGCTTAGCTGCTCTCATAGTCGCGTAGCCTGTATTTGTTCCCATTGGTGTACGGAGAAGCCTGCGCCCCCGTGTGTACTCTAACGCTCAGTCCGTCTTCCAGGACAGAAGGTTTGATTCGCTGTGCCTTGACAGACTGGCCAATCGAGACTTGCAAGGCCCGAATGCTCAGCCCGAATGGTCGAGCATGGCACATCTTACCACTGCTGCAACGTACACAAACAAGAAATGCGAGCGACATTTTTTGCAAGGCCTACCAGCACAACTTCCAACTAGTATGCTCTTTTCATTTCCCATCAACACTATCAGGGCTATGCAAAGAAGACCGGGTAACTTGACATGGCGTATTGTGGCCATACTATGGTATACACCTGAGTTTGTATTCTGCAAATTACGGCATAACAGGGCCATGCGCATCACCCTTCCCCCCCCCCAAAACAACCGCTACCCGAAAAGAAAAAGGTCTACCCGCACAGCGCCACTGCCTCGCTTGCCGGCACTCTACTCACCGTTTAACAACCCTGTCCACAGAGTGCCAAAGCTCCTTTACCGTCTTTTCTGCTTTTCTGCTCTGCATTAGTTTCCTTCCGTTCCCTGAAGCAGATTTGGAACTCAGGCACAAAGTAGTAAAAAACTCTTGAAACTGCATTTAGGCGAGTAATGCGGGCATGTGTGCATGCAGGCTGGGAGGTACAGTAGGCGGGGCCATCATGATGAAAGTGAGTTCCGCGGGAAAGATAAATAGTCCGGGGATGCGGATGTGCTGTTGAATGAAGCTTGGTGGTGAAGGGAATGCTTTGTTTTGGTTTGATGACGAGGAAAAGTGGGGGAGCCTGGTGCTGTATGCAATGCTTGAAGAGGGGCGAGGTGCGGTTGTCGTGTAGATAACCGGTACACTGTACCGGTACGATGGTAGGCTGGGAAATAGACCCAGAGCACCCGTCTGTCAGGCAAAGGTTCTCTCCTATGGGGCGCTTACGCAGCCCCTGTATCCAAGTACACCAATTTTGGATGAAACAGTAATATATTCAATTCTCATCGCTTACCATAGTAGATCACTGCCTGGCAGCGAGCCCTTGTACTATTTACTAGCAATAAGAGCTTATCAGGTGTGATTAAGTCCTACGCTGCGCGCACAATATAGCCAGGTTCGGTGCTTTAGTGAGGTAGTGGTAGAGGTGGGCTGGATATCAAGTTGATGAGGACTGAGAGATAGAACCTTCGAGGAACTTAGGGGTGCATTGATTACCATATAAATTACTATGGATTTGCATGTGAATACTGGAACATGGAGTTTCCAATCTCCATGAGCACGGCCCCAGTTACCCCCTGCAAGTAGACCCATGGGTGAGTACTTCTAAGGGCGCAGTTCATATAACCATGGAATTAGCGCTGCGTGAACTTGTATTTAGCATAGGGTTAGGCTATACTAAGCTCTACTAGCTAGCTAAGCAAGGTTAACTAAATATTATACTATAAGATTTTATAATATATTCTAAACCTATTCTAAATATATTCTATACTAGTAATACTATAAGCTACTACTACTATACCTATTACTAACGTATCCCTCTTATCCTATATAAGCAGATTAAAACATGTTTAGAACGTATTCTTAATAGGTTATAGAAGCACTATTAATAGTACCTTGCCCTTAGCTATATCCTAGATAATATTAGGGTATAGCCTATAGTTAGCCCTAATAAGGTAGTTAAGATAGAGAGTAGAGAGCACTACTACTATACTAAGATTAATAATAAGGGCACCTTATATAGAGTAAGAATAGGTTCTAAATATATTCTAAATAGGTTCTAATATTCTTAAGCTATTCTAGGTACTAGGGGCACTTTATATACCTATACTAAAAAAGATTATAGGCTTAATATAGCCTACTATAAGGTTAGTAAGGTTAAGAAGACTAGCTAGCCCTCTATAATAGAGGTCTGTAAGGTAAAGAGTAAATATATTATTAACCTATTCTTAACTTATTATACTAATATATATAGACTTCTATATAAAGGTTATATATAATTACTAGAATACTCCTTACTATAAGTTATTTAGAATATATTTAAAACTTATTACTAACTTATTTTATAGAAGTTCTTTAAGCCTAGCTAGTAGCTACTATAGGCCCCCCTATAAATACTAATACCCTCCTAAATATAATTTAGAAGAAGACTTATAGTAGCTATAATAATAATAAGGTATAGCCTATAAGAACCTATTAAAAATACGTTACTAACTTATTATAGCTTAACTTTATTACTATATCTACCCTACTAAGGATTTAAGGTTATTAGGTTCCTTATACTATCTATACTTATAATTATCCTAGCTATAGTAAGTTATTTATAATATATTATTAACCTATTCCTAATATATTTTAAGACTATTACTTTAATACTAGTGTAGACCTTACTAATTCCTGCTAGAATACTACCTAGTTCTACTTGCGGTATACTTTTATAGAGCCTAGGGAGGATAAGGAGGATAAAGAAGATACTAGAGAGGGGGAGGGAGATAATAATAGTAATAAGTAGGAATATATTAAGAACGTGTTAAGAATAGGTTCTAATAAATAATATATAATAGTATATAACCTAAAGGGGTAGTAGTAATTACTAAAATAAACTCTCTACTCTTCTTTTTTTTTTCTATCTACTAAAAGTAAAGTACTATTTACTTTTATAGGGTCCTTTAATAGTATATAACTTTTTCTTTTAACTTTTATAGGTATTATAAAGCTTTAGTAGTCCCTTAGATTAAAGAAGAATCTAGTATTTATAGGTATCTAGCTATAACGTATTATTAATATGTTCTAAACATGTTTTAAGAGACTAGACTTATATCTCCTTTTTACTACTTTTGCTAAATATTATTTATAGTATAAAGGGGAGCAACTATTTGCTCCTCTTCTTTACTCTCTACTTCCTCTTTAGCCTCTACTCTAGCTACTACTTCTTATTATAGACTAGCTATCTTAGAGGGTTCTTAAACCTTAGAGGAGGCACTTAGTATAGTCTACTCTACTAGTAGAGAATGTATTATTAACGTGTTTAGAACACGTTCTTAAGCATTTACTATTAAGCTCCTATAGAAGATCCTTGCTTCTATAATACCTTGTATTATAGTTCTGCTATAGTTTACTAGGGCTATTTAAACCTTAGGATAATACCTCTTAAGGTAGTAAATAAGATTACCTCTATTAGAGAAGTAACGCTAAAATAGTTATTAATATATTATAAACATGTTCTAACTTGTATATATATATACTCTATAAAGTTCCTATACCCCTAATCTAGCCTAAATAGCCTAGTAGAAAAGCTTGCTAGGAAATACTATACACCCTTTATTTAGGTAGGATATTATAGGAGAGAATACCCTAGTATTAGATAGAAGTAACTTAAGCTTAATATATTACTAGTATAAATCCTACTTAGTATTAGAACAAGTTTATAACATGTTCCTAACACGTTCTATTATATACTAACTTTAAAAGATCTTTATAGACTATATTAACTAGTTATATCTAATAATATTAGGAAAGATAGATAGTAAAATAGTATTAAACTCTTAAATATAAAAAGTTCTTATAGAGTGTAAGAAGAAAGAAGAAGAAAGAGAAGAAGAAAGAATATATATTTATCTACTTATATATACTTATATAATAGACTAGAATATATTAAGAACTAGTTAGAAACTAGTTACTATATTTATAGACTAACCCTACCTTATATAAAAAGTAGCTATCTCTTTCTTAAGTTTAAACTATACCTTTTATAATTTAAATAGTGCCTTTTTCTATACAAGTTCTTCCTTATCTACCTCTAGCTTTTCTTTTCTCTCCTTTAGAGCCTAATTACTAAGAAGAGCCTTTTATTATAAAGTTTATAGTTATAGACTAATAATAAGTTAGGAACGTGTTATAAACGTGTTTTGTAAAGTATACCTTTAGGTTACTATTAGTAGAGGAGAAGAGCCTAGTAGTAGAGAAGATAGAAAAGGGGCTAGTAAACTTCTTTCTAATACTACTCTACTACTTACCCTCTAGCTTTAGGCTTTTAAGCGTACTCTTTTATTTCTTATTAGGACTAAGATATATCTAGTTAAGTTAGATATAGTAAGACTTGCTTTATTATTATCTAGAGTATTATTATTATTATAGGATATATTCTAAACACGTTCTAAACACATTTTAATTAGTAAATATATATAACGCTAGCGTAAGACTTACTTTCTCCTGTTATAGACTGGCCTTAAGGGAAGAATGCAATGAGCGTTGATAATAGTATTTAGTATCTTAAAGGAGAGATAAGCCCTCCACGCCTTTTTATAGGTGTCTAGTGTGTTCGCTTAGTAGTAGTGTTAGACTTGGTCTGTCTTGTGTTAGACCTAGGCTTAGGTATAAGCCCAAGCCCTTTATATACCCCTAACCTTCCCCTATAACCTATTGTAAAATCGTCTTTCTAGGGGTCTAGGGTTATGTCTTTATCCTCTATAATCTATATTAGGCTTTATTACTATATTTTTTAGTTTTGTTGTTATGTCTCTATATTCCTTCCTAATTTGTAACAGGCCTGTATATTAAGCAGTACGCGTGCGTAGCGTCTATACGCTTGTTTTAGCACCCTACTATAAAAGTTCTAATATAGCTATCCTACCCTACTATAAATTTCCTAACTTACTTTATTATATAGTAGATTTTCCTAGCTAATTAGTCTTATCTCTACTCTTTTTCTGTTAATCTAGCCTATATAGCCTCTATTATATCTCTGTCTACTACTACTAGTACTAGTAGTAGGGATCTACTAAGAGGTGGTTAGACCCCGCGCTAGGCCTACTAAGATAAGGTGCGTACTTCTAGTGTCCTCCCTATATTTCCTGCACTAACTTTTGCTTAGCACACGCCTCCCTAAACACAGCTACTTAGCGGCTTTATTATTTCTAGTAACTTAGATAATAAGGAATACAATAGTAGCTTTGTAAAGCCGCTTCCCTATAATTAGTGTATTAACTAGCTTTGTCTCTTTAGTAAGTATAACTATTAGGAAGGTAGTAGTAAGTTCCCCTTAATTTGTATTTTCTTTATAGCAAGTTCTAACTATATCTAGGGCGTTTATGCAAGTCTTGTAGTCGCAGTTATAAAACCTGCACTAGGTTAGAGGCTATACTTAATAATAATCACTGAACCCTAGTACATGGATAAATCCGGATCCGCGGCAT